GAGAGAGGGGAGAAAGAAGTCAAAGCATAGGGTAGGGCAGTGTGAGCAGGACCAGCAGTGTCATTAGACTTAACAAACGAGGATCGGATGTCGTCAACCTTCTTTTCAAAGTGGTTGACGAAGTCATCCACAGAGAGAGAGGAGGGGGGGGATTCAGGAGGGAGGAAAATGTGGCAAAGAGCTTCCTAGGGTTAGAGGCAGATGCTTGGAATTTAGAGTGGTAGAAGGTGGCCTTAGCAGCAGAAACAGATGAAGAAAATGTAGAGAGGAGGGAGTGAAAAGATGCCAGGTCGGCAGGGAGTTTAGTTTTCTTCCATTTCCGCTCCGCTGCCCGGAGCTCTGTTCTGTGAGCTCGCAATGAGTCATCAAGCCACGGAGCTGGAGGGGAGGACCGAGCCGGCCGGGAGGATAGGGGACACAGAGAGTCAAAGGATGCAGAAAGGGAGGAGAGGAGGGTTGAGGAGGCAGAATCAGGAGATTGGAGGGAGAAGGATTGAGCAGAGGGAAGAGATGATAGGATGGAAGAGGAGAGAGTAGTGGGAGAGAGAGAGCGAAGGTTGCGGCGGCGCATTACCATCTGTGTAGGGGCAGAGTGAGTAGTGTGGGAGGAGAGCGAGAGAGAAAAGGAAACAAAGTAGTGGTCGGAGACATGGAGGGGAGTTGCAGTGAGATTAGTAGAGGAGCAGCATCTAGTGAAGATGAGGTCAAGCGTATTGCCTGCCTTGTGAGTAGGGGGGGACGGTGAGAGGGTGAGGTCAAAAGAGGAGAGGAGTGGAAAGAAGGAGGCAGAGAGAAATGAGTCAAATGTGGACATAGGGAGGTTGAAATCCCCCAAAACTGTGAGGGGTGAGCCATCCTCAGGAAAGGAACTTATCAAGGCGTCAAGCTCATTGATGAACTCTCCAAGGGAACCTGGAGGGCGATAGATGACAAGGATATTAAGCTTAAATGGGCTAGTGACTGTGACAGCATGGAATTCAAATGAGGAGATAGACAGATGGGTTAGGGGAAAAATTGAGAATGTCCACTTGGGAGAGATGAGGATTCCTGTACCACCACCCCTCTGACCAGATGCTCTCGGGGTATGCGAGAACACATGGTCAGACGAGGAGAGAGCAGTAGGAGTAGCAGTGTTTTCAGTGGTAATCCATGTTTCCGTCAGCGCCAGGAAGTCGAGGGACTGGAGGTTGGCATAGGCTGGGATGAAGTCAGCTTTGTTGGCAGCAGAACGGCAGTTCCAGAGGCTGCCTGAGACCTGGAACTCCAGGTGTGGGGTGCGTGCAGGGACCACCAGGTTAGAGAGGCAGCAGCCACGCGGTGTGGTGCGTTTGTGTAGCCTGTGCAGAGAGGAGAGAACAGGGATAGGCAGAGGCATAGTTGACAGGCTGTAGCAAATGGCTACAAAAATGCAGAGGAGATCGGAATGAAATGAGCTAAGCATCTGGGAGAGGAGAGAGCAGGGCCTACCTCACCAAAAACTTCTACCTCAGAAACTAAAATTGTTTCACTGAACCACCCGAACAAAAACTAGCATGATAGCATCCAATAACAATAACACACAGTTTAGCACCAACACTTGGTCACAACAAACCACCAATAGTGTGTTAACTAGCTAACTAGCATGCTAGCATCCAGTAACACACAGTTTAGCACCAACACTTGGTCACAACAAACCACCAATAGTGTGTTAACACACTAAACAGATCATTCGTGTCTGTGTCAAGTTCCTTTCATGACGCAGCAATGATTAAACGTTGGCTAGCTAGGACAAGTATATTGTATTTAGCTACTACAGTACAGTTAGCTGGTCGTGTTGGGTAGCTAGCAATGGCCACTGTGTTGACTTTGTTTGAAGAACGGCTAGCTAGCTAGCTTCGTGCTACACCCGGCACACAATGGCTACTGTGTTGACTCTGACTCTGTTCGAAAAACGGCTAGTTAGCTCGCTTCGTGCTACAGCCGGCACGGCCGAAGACACTGCCAACCTACAGTAACTACCCACAACAACCCACGATGCCTAGCTATGACGCCATAGCTAACTAGCATGCTAGCATCCATTAACACACAGTTTAGCACCAATACTTGGTTACAACAAACTGCCAAGAGTGTGTTAACACACTAAACAGATAATTCATGTCCGTGTCTAGTTCCTTTCATAACGGATAACGCAGCAAAAATTAAACGTTGGCTAGCAGCACATTAACATTGGAAACAGCTCTCCACCGTTGCTACACGTTACCAGTAGCTACCCGCTAGCTAGCTAGCCTCGTGCTTCGATACTAACCTACAATAATTACCTACGGAAACCTACAGTAACAACAATACTAACCTACAATAACTACAATACCTAACTACAACTAACTACCTACCTACGATCTAATACATGGTTTAAGCTTACTCAACACCATATGAGAAGCTTACCTCCTGCTAGAGAAAAACACAACCTCTCCCGATGGCTCTCATAGCTCTTCTGTCTTCAACCAGGATCTCAGCGATCACTGCCTTATTGCCTGCGTCCGTAACGGGTCTGCGGTTAAACGACCACCCCTCATCACTGTCAAACGCTCCCTAAAACACTTTAGCGAGCAGGCCTTCCTAATTGACCTGGCCCAGGTATCCTGGATGGATATAGATCTCATTCCGCCTGGTTGTTCTTTAAAAGTAATTTCCTCTCAATCTTAAATAAACATGCCCCATTCAAAAAATACAGAACTAAGAACAGATATAGCCCCTGGTTCTCCTCAGACTTGACTGCCCTTGACCAGCACAAAAACATCCTGTGGCGTACTGCATTAGAATCAAATAGCCCCCGCGATATGCAACTTTTCAGGGAAGTTAGGAACCAATATACACAAGCAGTCAGGAAAGCAAAGGCTAACTTTTTCAAACAGAAATGTGCATCCTGTAGCACTAACTCCAAAACGTTTTGGGACACTGTAAAGCCCATGGAGAATAAGAGCACTTCCTCCCAGCTGCCCACTGCACTGAGGCTAGGAAACACTATCACCACCGATAAATCTACAATAATCAAGAATTTCAACAAGCATTTTGCTACGGCTGGTCATGTGTTCCACCCGGCTACCACTACCCCGGCCACCAGCTCTGCACCCTCCGCTGCAACTTGCCCATGCCCCCCCCGCTTCTCCTTCACACAAATTCAGACAGCTGATGTTCTGAAAGCGCTGCAAAATCTGGACCCCTACAAATCATCTGGGCTAGTCAATCTGGACCCTTTCTTTCTAAAATTAGCTGCCGAAATTGTCGCAACCCCTATTACTAGCCTGTTCAACCTCTCATTCGTAACGTCTGAGATCCCCAGAGATTGGAAAGCTGCCGCGGTCGGCCCCCTCTTCATAGGGTGTGACACTCTAGATACAAACTGTTACAGACCTATATCCATCCTGCCCTGCCTTTCGAAAGTATTTGAAAGCCAAGTTAACAAACAGATCACCGACCACCTTCTCCGCTATGCAATCTGGTTTCCGAGCTGGTCATGGGTGCACCTCGCCACGCTCAAGGTCCTAAACGATATAATAACCGCGATCGAACGTCTCTATGGGGGTGCCACATGGTTCAATTCTCGGGCCGATTCTATTCTCTGTGTATATCAATGATGTCGCTCTTGCTGCTGGTGATTCTCAGATCCACCTCTACTTAGACGACACCATTTTGTATACATCTGGCCCTTCATTGGACACTGTGTTAACAAACCTACAAACGAGCTTCAATGCCATTCAACACTCCTTCGGTGGCCTCCAACTGCTCGTAAACGCTAGTAAAACTAAATGCATGCTCTTCAATTGAACGCTGCTTGCACCCGCCCGCCCGACTATAATCAATATTCTCGGCGGGTCTGACTTAGAATATGTGGACAACTACAAATACCTAGGTGTCTGGTTAGACCGTAAACTCTCCTTCCAGACTCACATAAAGAATCTCCAATCCAAAGTTAAATCTAGAATCGGCTTCCTATTTCGCAACAAAGCCTCCTTCACTCATGCTGCCAAACATGCCCTCGTAAAACTGACTATCCTACCGATCCTTGACTTCGGCGATGTCATTTACAAAATAGCCTCCAACACTCTACTCAGCAAATTGGATGTAGTCTATCACAGTGCCATCCGTTTTGTCTCCAAAGCCCCATACACTACCCACCACTGTGACCTGTACGCTCTTGTTGGCTGGTCCTCACTACATGTTCGTCGCCAAACCCACTGGCTCCAGGCCATCTATAAATCACTGCTAGGCAAATCCCCGCCTTATCTTAGCTCATTGGTCACCATAGCAACACCCACCCGTAGTCTGGCCCTCACTACATGCACCTGGTGAAATAAATAAAAATAAAAATAATAAGTTACATGTCTAGCCTAAATAAATTCAGGAGTAAATTTGCTTAACAAGTCACATAATAAGTTGCATGGACTCACTCTGTGTGCAATAATAGTTTAACATGATTTGTGAACGACTGCCTCATCTCTGTACCCCACACACACAATTACATGTAAGGTCCCTCAGTCGAGCAGTGAATTTCAAACACAGATTCAACCACAACGACCAGGGAGGCTTTCCAATGCCTCGTATAGGTATTTTTCCATTACATACAGTATATTATTAAATCATTTAACAATAAGCAGAATCATTATGGGTTTAAAAGAGGATTAGTGACTACACCTGTCTATGATGTATGAAACATATTTTGAAACATATGATGTATGAAACATATTATGAAACATATTTTGTAATCCAGATGCATGACTGTACAACCACATTGTGACTGCAGTAATCAATGTACTATATAATTATCAGCAGGTGTGTGTGTGTATATTATTTTTAAAGGAACTGTCTTTATCACGCCACCAATAGAGTCATGCAAGAGGAGGGGAAACCAAGCAGACATGGACATAGACAGGAAAGAGGCTAGACAAAGAAACCATAGTGGCTCAAGGTCAAGGGAGGGTGGCTGTTTGGATAAAGAGGGGGTTCCGATACGATATGAAAAGATGAAGCTGTGTAAAAAGAGAGTTCCAAGTCTGGGACTGGGATTTGCTCCGCTCGGCTTGATACTTTGGAATAAAGTTAAATTAATAAAATTCGGAACTCACAAGCTCCACTCTGGGTGCAATAATAGTGTTTAACATGTTTTTTCAATGACTACCTCATCTCTGCACCCCACACATACAATTATATGTAAAGTATCTCAGTCGAGCAGTGAATTTCAAACACAGATTCAACCACAAAGACCAGTGAGGTTTTCCAATGCCTCGCAAAGAAGGGCACCTATTGGTAGATGGGTAAAAAAAAAAAGCAGACATTGAATATCCCTTTGAGTATGGTGAAGTTATTAATTACACTTTGGATGGTGTATCAATAAACCCAGTCACTACAAAGATACAGGCGTCCTTCCTTATTCAGTTACAGGAGAGGAAGCAAACCGCTCAGGGATTTCACCATGAGGCCAATAGTGACTTTAAAACAGTTACAGAGTTTACTGGCTGTGATAGGAGAAAACGGAGGATGGATCAACAACATTGTAGTTACGCCACAATACTAACCTAAAGGACAGAGTGAAAAGAAGGAAGCCTGTACAGAATAAAAATATTCCTAAACATGCATCCTGTTTGCAACAAGGCACTAAAGTAAAACTGCAAAAAATGTGGCAAAGAAATTAACTTTATGTCCTAAATACAAAGTATTATGTTTGGGGCAAATCCAATACAACACATTATTGACTACCACTCTTCATATTTAAAAACATGGTGGTGGCTGCATCATGTTATGGGTATGTTTGTAATCGTTAAGGACTGGGGAGTTTTTCAGGATAAAAAAGAAACGTAATGGAGCTCAGCACAGGCAAAATCCTAGAGGAAAACCTGGTTCAGTCTGCTCTCCAACAGACACTGGGAGACAAATTCACCTTTTCAGCAGGACAATAACCTAAAACACAAGGCCAAATCTACACTGGAGTTCTTTACCAAGAAGAGAGTGAATGGCCGAGTTACAGTTTTGACTTAAATCTACTTGAAAATCTGTGGCAAGATCAGAAAATTGTTGTCTAGCAATGATCAATAACCGATTTGACAAAGCTTGAAGAATTTTGATAAAATAATGGGCAAATGTTGCACAATCCAGGTGTGGAAAGCTCTTACCCAGAAAGACTCACAGCTGTAATCGGTAACAAAAGTGTTTCTACAAAGTATTGACTCAGGGGTGTCAATACTTATCTAAATGACATATTTCTGTATTTCATTTTCAATAAATTTGCAAACATGTCTTAACATGTTTTCACTTTGTCATTAAGTCTCCCGAGTGGCGCAGTGGTCTAAGGCACTGCAGCGCAGTGCTAGCTGTGCCACCAGAGATCCTGGTTCGAATCCAGGCTCTGTCGTAGCCGGCGCGACCGGGAGACCCATGGGGCGGCGCGCAATTGGCCCAGCGTCGCCAGGGTAGGGGAGGGAATGTCCGGTAGGGATGTAGCTCAGTTGATAGAGCATGGTGTTTGTAACGCCAGGGTTGTGGGTTCGATTCCCATGGGGGTAGGAAAAAAATAAATAAAAAATGTATGCATTCACTAACTGTAAGTCGCTCTGGATAAGAGCGTCTGCTAAATGACAAAAATGTAAATGTAAATGTAATGTAAATGTGTATTGTGTGTAGACGGGTGAGGGAAAAAATCTACTTAATCCATTTAGATCGGATGAAGGGTGGATGATTACAGGATCATATCCCTCTGTTAGTCTGGCAGATCTAGAGGCTGGGGTCAGCCATCAGACTGCTTTTTAAGGTCAAATTAAATATGACTGATTTTGTAGTGGTTGCATAGTGTTCCAAGCTACAGGTAACTGCCAAAATAAAGTACAGTGGGGAAAAAAAGTATTTAGTCAGCCACCAATTGTGCAAGTTCTCCCACTTAAAAAGATGAGAGAGGCCTGTAATTTTCATTATAGGTACACGTCAACTATAACAGACAAATTGAGGAAAAAAAATCCAGAAAATCACATTGTAGGATTTTTAATGAATGTATTTGCAAATTATGGTGGAAAATAAGTATATGGTCACCTACAAACAAGCAAGATTTCTGGCTCTCACAGACCTGTAACTTCTTCTTTAAGAGGCTCCTCTGTCCTCCACTTGTTACCTGTATTAATGGCACCTGTTTGAACTTGTTATCAGTATAAAAGACACCTGTCCACAACCTCAAACAGTCACACTCCAAACTCCACTATGGCCAAGACCAAAGAGCTGTCAAAGGACACCAGAAACAAAATTGTAGACATGCTTCAGGCTGGGAAGACTGAATCTGCAATAGGTAAGCAGCTTGGTTTGAAGAAATCAACTGTGGGAGCAATTATTAGGAAATGGAAGACATACAAGACCACTGATAATCTCCCTCGATCTCTGAAGACCAAAGTAACAAAGCCTACCATCAGTAACACACTACGCCGCCAGGGACTCAAATCCTGCAGTGCCAGACGTGTCCCCCTGCTTAAGCCAGTACATGTCCAGGCCCGTCTGAAGTTTGCTAGTGTGCATTTGGATGATCCAGAAGAGGATTGGGAGAATGTCATATGGTCAGATGAAACCAAAATATAACTTTTTGGTAAAAACTCAACTCGTCGTGTTTGGAGGACAAAGAATGCTGAGTTCCATCCAAAGAACACCATACCTACTGTGAAGCATGGGGGTGGAAACATCATGCTTTGGGGCTGTTTTTCTGCAAAGGGACCAGGACGACTGATCCGTGTAAAGGAAAGAATGAATGGGGCCATGTATCGTGAGATTTTGAGTGAAAACCTCCTTCCATCAGCAAGGGCATTGAAGATGAAACGTGGCTGGGTCTTTCAGCATGACAATGATCCCAAACACACCGCCCGGGCAACGAAGGAGTGGCTTCGTAAGAAGCATTTCAAGGTCCTGGAGTGGCCTAGCCAGTCTCCAGATCTCAACCCCATAGAAAATCTTTGGAGGGAGTTGAAAGTCCATGTTGCCCAGTGACATCCCCAAAACATCACTGCTCTAGAGGAGATCTGCATGGAGAAATGGGCCAAAATACCAGCAACAGTGTGTGAAAACCTTGTGAAGACTTACAGAAAACGTTTGACCTGTGTCATTGCCAACAAAGGGTATATAACAACAAAGTATTGAGAAACTTTTGCTATTGACCAAATAGTTATTTTCCACCATAATTTGCAAATACATTCATTAAAAATCCTACTATGTGATTTTCTGGAAAAAAAAATCTCATTTTGTCTGTCATTGTTGACGTGTACCTATGATGAAAATTACAGGCCTCTCTCATCTTTTTAAGTGGGAGAACTTGCACAATTGGTGGCTGACTAAATACTTTTTTTCCCCACTGTAGTTTTAGCTGTATTGGTGTGGGGTATATTTTCCTGGCATGGTTTAAGTCCACTCAACCCCTTAGAGGGCAATAAATACACAACACTTCTGAGTGATCACCTTCAACCTATGGTGAAACATTTCTATCCTGATGGGAGTTGTCTATTTTCCAGGATGTCAATGCCTCCATCCACAGGGCACGAGTGTTCACTGAATGGTTTTGATGAGCATGAAAACGATGTAAACCATATTCCGTGGCCGTCTCAGTCCCCAGATCTCAACACAATTGAACACTTATGCTATTTTCTGTCCCGAGATGCCACTCATCAGTCAGTTGAAGCTAACTGCTAATTTAGCTAGCTAAGCTGTTAGCCGTCAAGCTAACTAAGATAGCTTTCTCCACCACTGTCTCTACAACATGGATTAACATGGAGGCTTCCCCGTTCAGAGGGAGAGATTAGTGTTTCCTGTAGGAGTTCTGCTTACTATGCACTTTCCAGGACAATGTGGACCGACCAATCAGCACAATCTGCTGGGGAAACCACGTCCACCTTCTCTTTCTCTAGACCACAGGCTGAACGTCGTTCTGATATGGTGAGAGAATCACCACCCTGACTGGCACAGGGACCTTTCCCCCCTGGGAAAATTAAAACAGGACCAACACTTCTAGAGGACTTAGCAGATGCCTCAGTCTTCGATCCTGCTATCCGCCTAATGGAAAACAGTGGTCCATGGTCAATGGAGCCTCTCTGGCTTTGGGGAGTCCGATCCAGATGTCAAGCAGCTTCCCCCCAACCCCCCCCCACCCCCCCCACCCCCTGGCTTCAGAGGGCTCCGCGCCATCGAACCCTACCCTGATTCTACCTCAGGCTCGAATCCTCCGTGCTCCCCCTCTCTTGAGGGTGTCTGAGGCTCCACCCACAATGGATTATACGGTTGAATCAGCCCCCAGAGCACATGACTCAGACTCGCAGTGACCCTCGCGTCCTCCAAAGGTGGTTTTTTGTAAGAAGCTCCATAGTATAGGGATGTGGTGGTCGCGTAAGCAAGGACCCACTGCTTTCCTGTGGACATACTGTAGATCATCAGGTCTGGAATGGAATAGCACTTGACTGCTCACACAGTAGTTGGTCATGTTGGTACAAACAACATCAATCTTCACAAGTTGGAGCAATTAAAATCTGACTTCAAAGTGCTCATAGGCAGGCTAAAGGAGACCGACAAGCAGGTTTTCATTTTCGGATGGCTTTAGTCCTCTCCTCTGGATATACTACTGGCTTAAGTCCTACTGTTCCTCTATGGATTTGGAGTTCATAGAAATGTTTTACCTCTTCTGGGAGAGGCCCACATTTTACAAGAGCGATGGCTTGCATCCAAGTAGGAGAGGGGGGCGAAGGTTATCTCGAACAAGATCGAGGAGGCTTTTAAAAATCATTGACTCAGCCCAAACCCAGCTCAGGTAATGATTCAAATTGCCCCTCCTCTTTCACATGATGTCCTCTGCACCAGTAGCAAGCCTCTGATCTGATGCGCGAGGGAAGTGACATGCATTAAACGCTAATCTTTCTTGTGGCTTTCTTTTGCAAAATAGCTATGAATTAACAGACTTATTTTTGAATAGTTGTCAACATATATCATCACATTAAGGTGTAGGAGGTTCACTGTACAGTCGTGGTCAAAAGTTTTGAGAATGTCACATGTATTGGTCTTCACATAGTTCGCTGCTTCAGTGTTATGAGATATTTTTGTCAGATGTACAAGCATTCCATAAGTGTCAAAGGCTTTTATTGACAATTACATTAAGTTTATGCAAATAGTCAATATTTGCAGTGTTGACCCTTCTTTTTCAAGACCTCTGCAATCCGCCCTGGCATGCTGTCAATTAACTTCTGGGCCACATCCTGACTGATGGCAGCCCATTCTTGCATAACCAATGCATGGAGTTTGTCAGAATTTGCCGGTTTTTGTTTGTCCACCCGCCTCTTGAGGATCGACCACAAGTTCTCAATGATATTAAGGTCTGGGGAGTTTCCTGGCCATGTACCCAAAATGTCGATGTTTTGTTCCCCTAACAAGTGTATAAAATCGAGCACACAGCCATGCAATCTCCATAGACAAACATTTGCAGTAGAATGGCCTTACTGAAAAGTTTAGAGACTTTCAACGTGACACCGTCATAAGATGCCACCTTTCCAACAAGTCAGTTCGTCAAATTTCTGCCCTGCTAACGCTGCCCCGGTCAACTGTAAGTGCTGTTATTGTGAAGTGGAAACATCTAGGAGCAACAGCGGCTCAGAAGCGAAGTGTTAGGCCACACAAGCTCACAGAACGGGACCGCCGAGTGCTGATGTGCGTAGCGTGTAAAGATTGTCTGTCCTCGGTTGCAACGCTCACTACCAAGTTCCAAACTGCCTCTGGAAGCAATGTCACCACAATAACTGTTCGATGGGTGCTCCATGGCCGAGCAGCCACACACAAGCCTAAGATCACCATGCACAATGCCAAGCGTCGGCTGGAGTGGTGTAAAGCTTGCCACCATTGGACTCTGGAGCAGGGGAAACGCGTTCTCTGGAGTGATGAATTACGCTTCACCTTCTGGCAGTCCGACGGACAAATCTGGGCTACCTGCCCGAACTGTGAAGTTTGGTGGAGGAGGAATAATGGTCTGGGGCTGTTTTTCATGGTTCGGGCTAGGCCCCTAAGTTTCAGTGAAGGGAAATCTTAACGCTAAAGCATACAATGACATTCTAGATGATTTTGTGCTTCCAACTTTGTGGCAACAGTTTGGGGAAGGCCCTTTCCTATTTCAGCATGACAATGCCCCCGTGCACAAAGCAAGGTCCATACAGAAATGGTTTGTTGAGATCGATGTGGAAGAACTTGACTGGCCTGCACAGACCCCTGACCTCAACCTCATCGGACACCTTTGGCATGAATTGGAATGCCGACCACGAACCAGGCCTAATTGCCCAAAATCACTGCCAGACCTCACCAATGTTCTTGTGGCTGAATAGAAGCAAGTCCCCGCAGCAATGTTCCAACATCTAGTGGAAAGCCTTCCCAGAAGAGTGGAGGCTGTTATAGCAGCAAAGGGGGGGGCAACTCCATATTAATGCCCATGATGTTGGAATGAGATGTTGGACGAGCAGGTGTCCACATACTTTTGGTCAGGTAGAGTATGTACCTTGGATGGAGCCCCCATTGATCGTGTCCCCGCTTATAAATATCTGGGCATTTGGATAGACAAAAAGCTAGCTTTTAAAAAGCATATTGATGAGTTAGTTATTTAGTTAAGAATAAAAATGGGCTTCTTCTATAGAAATAGATCATGCCTTTTGTTAAATAGCAGAAAACAGATTATTCAGTTGACATCAGTGGAGGCTGCTGAGGGGAGGACGGCTCATAATAATGGCTGGAACGGAGCAAATGGAATGGCATCAAACACATGGAAACTATGTGAATGATGTATTTGATATCATTCCACCTATTCCACTCCAGCAGTTACCACAAGCCTCTCCACTCCAGCAGTTACCACAAGCCTCTCCACTCCAGCAGTTACCACAAGCCTCTCCACTCCAGCAGTTACCACAAGCCTCTCCACTCCAGCAGTTACCACAAGCCTCTCCACTCCAGCAGTTACCACAAGCCTCTCCACTCCAGCAGTTACCACAAGCCTCTCCACTCCAGCAGTTACCACAAGCCTCTCCACTCCAGCAGTTACCACAAGCCTCTCCACTCCAGCAGTTACCACAAGCCTCTCCACTCCAGCAGTTACCACAAGCCTCCCAATTAAGGTGCCACCAGCCTCCTGTGGTTGACATTCATACTGGTTATAGACTATGGCGATATCGTCTACATTTTGACAGTTACCTGTAGTGACCTGTAGAGGCCTGTAGTGACCTGTAGAGGCCTGTAGTGACCTGTAGTGACCTGTAGTGACCTGTAGAGGCCTGTAGTGACCTGTAGAGGCCTGTAGTGACCTGTAGAGGCCTGTAGTGACCTGTAGAGGCCTGTAGTGACCTGTAGTGATCTGTAGTAACCTGTAGTGACCTGGTATTTTCTATTTAGTTTTGATTACTAATGCTTTCCTCATAAAACATTACAGCATAGAAGGACCTTTAAGGACGTTTTGTCATGTAATAGGACGACTGTAACATCAGCTGTAAGAACGTAAGATGGCGCTGACAGACAGCTCTGTTTCTAGCTCCTAAGTGACTTTTGTCACGCCCTGGCTCTGGGGACTCTTAAATGTTGAGCCAGGGTGTGGATTTTCTATGTTTAGTTTTCTATGTTTTTTGTTCTAGATCGTTTAGTTCTATGTTGGCCAGGGTGGTTCCCAATCAGAGGCAGCTGTAGCTCGTTGTCTCTGATTGGGGCCCATACTTAGGCAGCCTGTTGGCACCAGTTAGTTTGTGGGATCTTGTTCCGTAAAGGTTTGTGTTGTTGAAACCTCAGGACTTCACGTATCGTTCGTTTTGTTGTTTTGTTCGTGTGTTGTGAACTAAATAAAATGTACGCTTATCACGCTGCGCCTTGGTTCCACGAGTCATCAGTCAACGTGCGTGACAACTTTGCAGTATTGTGTTTAGTTTTGTTGTTATTTATTACATTATTAGCACAGAATGTTTTTTGTGTTATTACATACAGCCGGAAAATAACTTTTGGATATCAGAGTGGCAGTAACTCACCAGCATTACGACCGGGAATACGACTTTCCCGGATTGGATCCTTTGTTCGTACCCCCAATTGAACTGATTCCAGAGGCGCTGGCGGCGGAGAATAGGTATTCGGAGTACGAATCAGGAGGCGTGAACACCGTCCACCACTTCCGAGAATATAACTCGCTAATGTTGAGTCTCTGGATAAGAAAGTAGACGAGCTCAGGGCGAGGATCTCCTTCCAAAGAGACATCACGGACTGTCACATACTCTGTTTCACGGAATCATGGCTCTCTCGGGATATACTGTCCACGTCCATACAGCCAGCTGGGTTCTCAGTACATCGCGCAGACAGGAATAAAGAACTCTCCGGGAAGAAGAAAGGTGTATGTTTTATGATTAACTACTCATGGTGTGATTATAATAACGTACAGGAACTCAAGTCCTTTTGTTCACCCGACCTAGAATACCTCACAATCAAATGACGACCGTATTACCTCAGAAGAGAATTCTCTTCGGTTATAGTCCCAGCCGTGTATATTCCCCCTCAAGCCGATACCACGACGATCCTCAAGGAACTACACTGGACTTTATGCAAACTGTAAACCACATATCCTGAGGCCGCATTTATTGTAGCTGGGGATTTTAAGAAAGCAAATTTGAGGAAACTACCAAAGTTCTATCAACACATTGCCTGTAGTACTTGCTCTCAAAAACTCTCAACTACTGTTACTCTCACTTCCGGGATGGCTCCTCCGCTCTCCCTTCGGCAAATCAGATAACGACTCCATTCTTCTCCTCCCTTCCTATAGGCAGAAACTCAAACAAGAAGTACCCGTGCTAAGGTCTATTCACTGCTGACCAATCAGAATCCATGCTTCAAGATTGTTTTGATAAAGCGGACTGGGATATGTTCCAGGTAGCCTCTGAGAATAACATAGACGTATACACTGACACGGTGACTGAGTTCATCAGGAAGTGTATAAGGGATGTTGGTCCCACTGTGACTATTAAAACCTCCCCAAACCAGAAACCTTGGATAGACGGCAGCATTCATGCAAAACTGAAAGCGCGAAACACCGTATTTAACCTCTTCATCACTAGGCACCTGGCTAAAGTGCCTGCCTCGAAAATGCATGCCCAAATTGAATAGAGTATATCTCCAAAACAACAAGGGCTATCAACATAATATTGGTAGCAAATTGAAAGGTAACACATGTGAGATGTATCTTGAAGTGAAATTATTAATGTGGGTGTTACTGTGACAGAGTACATGAAGCTAGAACACAGCATAAATTGGGAGGTTTTGATTCCGCCTGAAAGTAACTTCAGGTTTTATAGAGAATAATTTATTGGACTTATGCAGCTGCAGCCCCTAAACACTATGGGACCATAGCCCAATATCCGATGAGTACTTATGTGAAGTTTGATGCCAATAAAGTAAAGGAAACCAAAGTTGTAGGGGTTTTAGTTTAAGTATGTTTAGGCGGATTACCAAATGGAGACATTTGGGTAGATTTGGGCACCATCAGTGCCATTTGACTTTTATCAGGTACCAGACAGCAAAAGGCGTTTAATTCCACTAACATATTATCACTATATGTGTACATTCCATCAAAATACAACTGTTATGGTGTTGTTTCCCATGTTCTCCCAGACCTCTAAACGTGTTCCCATTAAAATAAACCATACAATGGGAAAGTTTCACTCCAAACTGAGCAGATTTATTAGAAACTATAAACAACACATTTAAAAACAAAAATTACACACATCCCAAAACTGTAAACAATGATATTGTGTCGTTGGGTGGGTTGTCACACAAAATGTAGACCCTTTTTTCTCTTCTCTATTATGCCACCTATCTTCTTCTTCCTCTTCTTCCTCCCCGACTCTTGGAGTGGCAGGCCTACCTCCACCACGCTGACTTGGAGAAAGCTTTTCCTTTTCTTTTGGGTTGAGGGCTCTTTACAGGGGACTCAGTGTCCGATGAAGACCGTGATATTTTAGAATGTATGTTTTGTACTCACACAATAAATTAGTAATAGTAGTATTAGAAGTAATAAATAACAATGGGATTACATCCTCTTCTGATGCTTGAGCAGGGCCCTGGACACGATAACCTTCCATCTCGTCGTTGGGGTCTGGTTCGTCCGGTCTAAGCAGGTACTCATCAATGGGGATACATGGAGTCCAACTTTCATCTGTTACAATTAATAACGCCTCTGTAACTGTATATTTGTTACTAGAGCCTGCCATATTTGAATAAACTTTGCATTTTACCTCCGAAATTCTAGTGTTGTGGTGCGCTCTGCGTAACCGTGCGTAATGCAGCAAGTCAACTAATATGAGACAATGAGGTGCGCACCTGGATATTTCAACAACCGGTTGGTCGATTTTGACATGTGACCCCTCTATCGAAAGCTTATGATCAGTATAATTAAATGAGAACAATGACAAACCACCGGGATTGCATCATATATCCAGAAGATGGCGACAAAACAGTGCCTGTTGTGATTGAACCAAACTACTGACTTCATCTTCAAACACATTGTTGGCCATGTAAATCGATGGAAACTCATTGAAATCGACTCAGAATGAGAGAGAGACCCTAGAGTATCTTTTCAAGTGGTTTTATTCAATCAGACACTACTTTTGGTAACAGAAACAACAAAGGTAAGACGCAGTTTGTTGTTGTGATAAAAAATGGAAGTTTGTTACTGACGTTCTTTGATTAATAGTTTAGTGAGTGTTGGTCATATAGGAACATGACTGTTGGAATCTGTGAGGTAGCAGCTTTTGAATGGCGTATCGTTTGTGTAGATAGGTTGAGAAAAATACGTTATCTGTCTACGAATATACGGGCATGCACGGTTACAGTACTGGTTTTGCTATATGCTTATACATTTGCTTGGAGTCTGAATATTATTTCATTTGGGCAACAACAGTTTAGCTATATTCACAGTTGAGACGCTTCTCGTTCCAGTAGTGGATAACATTCAGGTATTCACATGTTTAAAAACCGTACTACGCCATCGTTTGAGATTGCGGGAGGAGTACCCCGGATATGGGGAACCTCGTGATGAAGAGGATAACAATGGCAAGGTGACAAGGAATATGGTCGAATACAAACAGTGTAGTTATTCCCTCCTTAAGGCAATCAAACAGGGAAAACGTCAGTACAGAGACAAAGTGGAGTCGCAATTCAACGGCTCAGACACAAGATTTATGTGGCAGGGACTCCAGACAACCACGGATTACAAAGGGAAAACCAGCCACATCGCGGACACCGACGTCTTGCTCCCAGACAAGCTAAACACCTTCTTCGCCTGCTTTGAGGATAACACAGTGCCACCGATGCGGCCTGCTCCCTAAGACTGTGTGCTCTCGTTCTCCGTGGCCGACGTGAGTAAGACATTTAAGTGTGTTAACCCTCGAAGGCTGCTGGCCCAGACGGCATCCCTAGCTGCATCCTCAGAGCATGACGCAGACCAGCTGGCTGGAGTGTTTACAGACCTATTCAATCTCTATCCCAGTCTGCTGTCCCCACCTGCTTCAAGACGTCGATCATTGTTCCTGTACCCAAGAAAACGAAGGTAACTGAACTTAATGACTATCACACAGTAGCACTCACTTCTGTCATCATGAAGTGCTTTGAGAGGCTAGTTAAGGATCATATCACCTCTACCTTACCTGTCACCCTAGACCCACTTCAATTTGCCCCAATAGATCCACAGACGATGCAATCGCCATCACACTGCACACTGCTGTATCCCATCTGGACAAGAGGAATACCTATGTGAGAATGCTGTTCATTGACTATAGCTCAGCCTTCAACACCATAGTACCCTCAAAGCTCATCATCAAGCTCGAGGTCCTGGGTTTGAACCCCGCCCTGTGCAACTGGGTCCTGGACTTCCTGAAGGGTCACCCCCAGGTGGTGTATGTAGGAAACAACACCTCCACTTCGCTGATCCTCAACACAGGGGCCCCACAAGGGTGCGTGCTCAGCCCCCTCCTGTACTCCCTGTTCACCCATGACTGCGTGGCCAAGCACGTCTCCAACTCAATCATCAAGTTTGCAGATGACACAACAGTAGTAGACCTGATTACCAACAATGATGAGACAGCCTACAGGGAGGAGGTGAGGTTCCTGGCGGAGTGGTGCCAGGAAAATAACCTCTTCCTCAACGTCAACAAAACGAAGGAGCTGATCGTGGACTTCGGGAGACAGCAGAGGGAGCACGCCCCCATCCACATCGACTTGGCCACAGTGGAGAAGGTCAAAAGCTTCCGGTTCATCTGCGTACACATCACTGATAATCTGATATGGTCCACCCACGCAGACAGTGTGGTGAAGAAGGCGCAACAGCGCCTCTTCAACCTCAGGAGACTGAAGAAATTCGGCTTGGCCCCTAAGACACTCACAAACTTTTACAGATACACTATTGAGAGCATCCTGTTGGGCTGTATCACCGCCTGGTACGGCAACTGCACCGTCCGCAACTGCAGGGCTCTCTACAGGGTGGTGCGGTCTGCCCAACGCATCACCAGGGGCACACTGAATGCCCTCCAGGACAGTTACTGCACCCGATGTCACAGGAAGGCCAAAAAGATCATAAATTACTCAACCACCCGAGCCACGGCTTGTTCAGCCCACTATCATAAACAACAGCTGGTGCATAAAATCTAATACTAAGGAAGTCTCGAGGTTTTGCTCGCCTGAGGTAGAGTTTCTCATGATAAGCTGTAGACCACACTATTTACCAAGAGAGTTTTCATCTATATTTTTCATAGCTGTCTTTTTTACCACCACAAACCGATGGTGGCACTAAGATTACACTCAATGAGCTATATAAGGCCATTAGCAAAGAGGAAAATGCTCATCCAGAGGCAGCACTCCTAGTGGCCGGGGACTTTAATGCAGGCAAACTAAAGCATGTTAAATGTGCAACCAGAGGGGAAAAATTCCTGCTTATAGGCAAAAACTGAAGCAGGAAGCACCAGTGACTCAGTTAATAAGGAAGTGGTCAGATGAAACAGATGCTAAGCTACAAGACTGTTTTGCTAGCACAGACTGGAACATGTTCCAGGATTCTTCCGATAGCATTGAGGAGTACACCACATCAGTCACTGGCTTCATAAATAAGTGCATCGATGACGTCGTCCCCACAGTGACCGTACGTAAATACCCCAACCAGAAGCCATGTATTACAGGCAACATCCGCACTGAACTAAAAGGTAGAGCTGCCGCTTTCAAGGAGCGGGATTCTAACCCGGACACTTATAAGAAATCCTGCTATGCCCTCCGACGAACCATCAAACAGGCAAAGAGTCAATACAGGACTAAGATTGAATCGTACTACACAAGCTCTGATGCTCGTCGGATGTGGCAGGGCTTGCAAACTATTGCAGACTACAAAGGGAAGCACAGCCGTGAGCTGCCCTGTGACACAAGCCTACCAGTCGAGGTAAATCACTTCTATGCTCGCTTCGAGGCAAGCAACAATGAAGCATGCATGAGAGCATCATATGTTCCGGATGACTATGTGATCACGCTCTCCGTAGCCGATGTGAGTAAGACTTTTAAGCAGGTCAACATTCACAAGGCAGCAGGGCAAGACGGATTACCAGGACGTGTACTCCGAGCATGTGCTGACCAACTGGCAAGTGTCTTCACCGACAATTTCAACATGTCCCTGACTGAGTCTGTAATACCAACATGTTTCAAGCAGACCACCATAGTCCCTGTGCCCAAGGACACTAAGGTAACCTGCCTAAATGACTACCAACCCGTAGCACTCACGTCTGTAGCCATGAAGTGCTTTGAAAGGCTGGTCATGGCTCACATCAACACCATTTTCCCAGAAACCCTAGACCCACTCCAATTTGCATACCGCCCCAACAGATCCACAGATGATGCAATCTCTATTGCACTCCACACTGCCCTTTCCCACCTGGACAAGAGGAACACCTACGTGAGAATGCTGTTCATTGACTACAGCTCAGCGTTCAACACCATAGTGCCCTCAAAGCTCATCACTAAGCTAAGGACCCTGGGACTAAACACCTCCCTCTGCAACTGGATCCTGGACTTCCTGACGGGCCGCCACCAGGTGGTAAGGGTAGGTAACAACACATCTGCCACGCTGATCCTCAACACAGGGGCCCCTCAGGGGTGCGTGCTCAGTCCCCTCCTGTACTCCCTGTTCACCCATGACTGCATGGCCAGGCACGACTCCAACACCGTCATTAAGTTTGCTGATGACACAGCAGTGGTAGGCCTGATCACCGACAACGATGAGACTATAGGGAGCAGGTCAGAGACCTGGCAGTGTGGTGCCTGGACAACAACCTCTCCCTCAACATGATCAAGACAAAAGAGATGATTGTGGCCCACAAGGAAAAAAAGAGGACTGAGCACGCCCCCATTCTCATCGACGGGGCTGTATTGGAACAGGTTGTGAGCTTCAAGTACCTTGGTGTCCACATCACCAACAAACTATCATGGTCCAAACACACCAAGACAGTCGTGAAGAGGGCACAACAAAGCCCATTTCCCCTCAGGAGACTGAAAAGATTTGGCATGGGTCCTCAGATCTTCAAAAGGTTCTACAGCTGCACCATCGAGAGCAACCTGACTGGTTGCATCACCGCCTGGTATGGTAACTGCTCGGCCTCTGACCGCAAGGCACTACAGAGGGTAGTACGTACGGCCCAGTACATCACTGGGGACAAGCTTCTTGCCATCCAGGACCTCTATACCAGGTGGTGTCAGAGGAAGGCCCTAAACATTGTAAAAGACTCCAGCCACCCTAGTCATAGACTGTTCTCTCTGCTACCGCACAGCAAGTGGTACCAGAGCGCCAAGTCTAGGTCCAAAAGGCTTCTTAACAGCTTCTACCCCCAAGCCATAAGACTCCTGAACAGCTAATCATGGCTACCCGGACTATTTGCACTGCCCCCCCACCCCTTCTCTTACGCTGCTGCTACTCTGTTTATTATTTATGCATAGTCACTTTAACTCTACCCACATGTACATATTACCTCAATTACCTCGACTAACCGGTACCCCCGCACATTGACTCTGCACCGGTACCTCCTGTATATAGCCTCCCTACTGTTATTTTATTTTACTGCTGCTCTTTAATTATTTGCTATTTTTATTTTTTACTTATATATTTTTTACTTAACACTTAAAACTGCATTGTTGGTTATGGGCTTGTAAGTAAGCCTGTTGTATTCGGCTCATGTGGCAAATACAATTTGATTTGAAGGATAGGTCAGTACAGGTGCATCAAAGTTGGGACGGAGAGACTGAAAACAGCTTCTATCTCCAGGCCATCAGACTGTTAAATAGCCATCCCTAGCCAGCCTCCACCCAGTTACCCTGCTCCTTAAAGGCAGGTACTTAGACATGGATACACTGGTCACTTGAATAATGTTTACATTACTCATTTCATATGTATATACTGTATTCTACTGTATTTTAGTGAATGCCACTCCGACATTGCTCGTCCTAATATTTATATATTTCTTAATTCCGTTATTTTACTTTGAGATGTGTGTTTATTGTTGTGAATTGTTAGATATTACTGCACTGTTGGAGCTAGGAACAAAAGTTTTTAGCTACACCCGCAATAACATCTGCTAAATATGTGACCTATGCAATGGCTTGCGAAAGTTTCACCCCCCTTGGCATTTTTCCTATTTTGTTGCCTTACAACCTGGAATTAAAATGGATATTTTGGGGGGGTTGTATCATTTGATTTACACAACATGCCTACCACTTTGAAGATGCAAAATATGTTTTATTGTGAAACAAACAAGAAATAAGACAAAAAAAACAGAAAACTTGAGCGTGCATAACTATTCACCCCCCCCCCCCCCCCCCCCCCCCCCCCCCCCCCCAAAGTCAATACTTTGTAGAGCCACCTTTTGCAGCAAATACAGCTGCAAGTCTCTTGGGGTATGTCTCTATAAGCTTGGCACATCTAGCCACTGGGATTTTGGCCCATCCTTCAAGGCAAAACTGCTCCAGCTCCTTCAAGTTGGATGGGTTCCGCTGGTGTCCAGCAATCTTTAAGTCATACCACAGATTCTCAATTGGATTGAGGTCTGGGCTTTGACTAGGCCATTCCAAGATATTTAAACGTTTCCCCTTAAACCACTCGAGTGTTGCTTTAGCAGTATGCTTAGGGTCATTGTCCTGCTGGAAGGTGAACCTCCGTCCCAGTCTCAAATCTCTGGAAGACTGAAACAGGTTTCCCTCAAGAATGTCCCTGTATTTAGCGCCATCCATCATTCCTTTAGTTTTGACAAGTTTCCCAGTCCCTGCCGATGAAAAACATCCCCACAGCATGATGCTGCCATCACCATGCTTCACTGTGGGGATGGTGTTCTCGGGGTGATGAGAGGTGTTGGGTTTGCACCAGACATAGCGATTTCCTTGATGGCTACAAAGCTAAATTTTAGTCTCATCTGACCAGAGTACCTTCTTCCATATGTTTGGGGAGTCTCCCACATGCCTTTTGGCAAACACCAAACTTTAATTTTTTTTCTTTAAGCAATGGCTTTTTTTGGGCCACTCTTCCGTAAAGCCCAGCTCTGTGGAGTGTATGGCTTAAAGTGGTCCTATTGACAGATACTCCAATCTCCGCTGTGGAGCTTTGCAGCTCCTTCAGAGTTATCTTTGGTCTCTTTGTTGCCTCTCTGATTAATGGCCTCTTTGCCTGGTCCGTGAGTTTTGGTGGGCGGCCCTCTCTTGGCAGGTTTGTTGTGGTGCCATATTTTTTTAATTTTTCAATACATTTATTTAATGGTTCTCCGTGGGATGTTCAAAGTTTCTGATAATTTTTTATAACCCAACCCTGATCTGCACTTCTCCCCAACTTTGTCCCTGACCTGTTTGGAGAGCTCCTTGGTCTTCGTGGTGCCGCTTGCTTGGTGGTGCCCCTTGCTTAGTGTAATGAATACTCGGACAGAGTGGTAAGATCCAATCGCAGAATCGCGATGCTTTATTAGAGTACAGACAAGGGAATAGCTTAATCGTGGTCGGGCGGGCTGTGGTCAAAACCGGGCCAGGCAGAGACAGGCAGAGGTACCAAGGGAGCGGGCTTAGTCGTAGTTGAGGTCACAGGCACAGGATCAGAGAACGGTAATCACTGGGGTAGACAGGTAGAGGATTAAGCAATTCGGGGAGTCAAACAACAAGGCACAGGTCGGATACACGGGTAATCAAAAACAACAAACTCTCTCTCTCTCTCGGAACAAAACGCTTAGCAAGTCACAATGGAACAATACCTCGCACCGACTGAACTTCTGAGCACACCTTAAATCCTACACTAATTACTGACAGGTGTGCTCAGAACTCAGGTGAACCAGATCGAGTCTGATGACTCCCCCTCTCTGTAGATCGGGGAAGTGTCAGACTCTGTCTAGACCCAGCCAACCCCCGATCCCTTACAGTATCCCCCTCCCCAGGGCCGGCTCCTGACGGCCTTCTACCTCTACCGGGTGGTCTTCCTCTGGGTCGGGGTCCGGGATGATCTGGGTGTTCAGCGTGGAAAGTGGCCTTGAGAGTGGGGTCTAGTATGTCCTTAGCAGGGACCCAGGACCGTTCCTCCGGTCTATATCCCTCCCAGTCCATGAGATATTCGATGCCCCCTCGTCTCCGTCTTGACTCCAGTATCTCGTGGACTGTATAGGTGGTGTCCTGTTCATCCTCCAAAGGTGGTGTAGTAGGTTGTTGAGCGATTGGTGGGTACATCGGGCTATAATGGACAGGTTTCAACAGGGAGACGTAGATGGGTGAATGGCCCCTTGCTGTAGTGCCTCATCAATATACTTGCTCATTGATTCTCGTTCCGGCTGTGACAAAGGGTAGATTCGTCCGCGAGGAGGTGTAGCCCCGGATAGCAGATCAATTGCACAATCCCAGGCCCGATGCGGTGGTAACACGGTAGCCCTCTCCTTGGAGAACACCTGCGCGTAATCCTGGTACTCTGTAGGAACAACAGTAGACACCGCACCCTTCGCATCCTCCACAGTAGACGTTTTGCAAGGTAAAATGAGGCACTCTGCCCTACATACCTCACTCCAAGCATTGATATCGCCAGATCTCCAGGAGATGACCGGATCATGGGTAACGAGCCAGGGGTGGCCGAGGACTAGCGGCTTCCGTGGAGCGGAGATGACGAACAGAATGATGTTCTCATGGTGCAGGGAGCCCACTTGTAATTTGATTTCCTCGGTACGGTGCGTAATGAACCCAGTGCCCATGGGCTCACCGTCTAGCGCGTTGACTCGCAGGGGAGGTTGAATTGGGATAAGTTGAACTCCCAACTCCTCAGCAAGACCCATATCCAGAAAGCTGGCAGCCGCTCCGGAATCAATAAGTCCTTCCAACCTGCGCACTTTCTCTCTGACAGATAAGGTAACTGGCACATACATTTGTTTGGATGTAATGTTCAAAACTGGAGTCTCACTCACCGGTTTGGCAGTTCCGAGGCGATATCCTGGGGTACGGTTTGGTCGTACCGGACATTGACTAACGAAATGACCCAACTGACCACAATACAGGCATAGTCCGTCTTGCCGACGTTGTTGTCTCACCGACCCTTGTAGAGGTGACCGTCCCAGTTGCATAGGTTCCTCCTCAGATTCTCTCCTCCACTCTGTCGATTGCTGAGGACCAGTAATCGAGGGCTCCCGGACTGTGGATACCTTGTGTTGCACTATCAGATTATCAATAGAGATGGCTATTTTGATAAATTCATGTAGCGCAGTGATATCTCCTCGACAAGCCAACTCAGTCTGTACGTCCTTTGCGCAGCCCTCTTCGGAAAACGGTGAGCAAAGCCGTCTTGCTCCATCCGCTACCGGCTGCTATAGTACGGAACTCTAAAGCGTAGTCGGCTACGGTGCGACGGCCCTGCTGAAGTTCGCATAGTTGGTCTCCCACACTACGCCCAGATACTGGGTGGTCGAACACCTCCTGGAACAGTCTCTTGAACTGAACTTCCGCATTCAACTCGGGAACCTCAGCTGCCCAAAGCGCAGTAGCCCAATCCAGTGCTCTTCCCGTTAGTAGAGAAATCATGAAATCCACCCTGCTACGGTCATCGGGAAACATAGTACGATTATACGACATATACAGGGACGTCTGAAGTAGAAACCCCTGACATTTGCCAGGTTCCCCGTCGTACCTAGTCGGTAGAGAAATCGGAGGTGTAGGACGAGGACTGACCGTGCTCGGGGTGGTGCCTTCAGCTGCACCAGTGTTGAGTAGCTGTAGGAGTTCATCCATGCGTTTCTCCTGTATCTCCCATCGCCTCTGTAATTCCGCTGGATCCATGGTAATGGCGAGGTATTCTGTAATGAATACTCGGACAGAGTGGTAAGATCCAATCGCAGAATCGCGATGCTTTATTTGAGTACAGACAAGGGAATAGCTTAATCGTGGTCGGGCGGGCTGTGGTCAAAACCGGGCCAGGCAGAGACAGGCAGAGGTACCAAGGGAGTCCCTTACACTTAGTGGTGTTGCAGACTCTGGGGCCTTTCAGAACAGGTGTATATATACTGTGATCATGTGGCACTTAGATTGCACACAGGTGGACTTTATTTAACTAATTAGTTGACTTCTGAAGGTAATTGGTTGCACCAGATCTTATTTAGAGGCTTCCTAGCAAAGGGGGTGAATACATATGCACGCACCACTTTTCCGTTATTATTTTTTTCGAATTTTTGGAAACAAGTAATTTTTTTCATTCCACTTCACCAATTTGGACTATTTTGTGTATGTCCATTACATGAAATCCAAATACAAATCCATTTAAATTACAGGTTGTAATGCAACAAAACAGGAAAAAATGCCAAGGGGGATGAATACTTTTGCAAGGCACTGTACAATTGGTTTTGATTTGACATCATAGGAGCTGTGACATCATAGCAGCTGTGACATCATAACAGCTGTGACATCATAGCAGCTGTAGCATCATAGCAGCTGTGACATCATAGGAGCTGTGACATCATAGCAGCTGTGACATCATAACAGCTTTGACATCATAGCAGCTGTGACATCATAGGAGCTGTGACATCATAACAGCTTTGACATCATAGCAGCTGTGACATCATAGGAGCTGTGGCATCATAACAGCTGTGACATCATAGCAGCTGTGACATCATAGGAGCTGTGACATCATAACAGCTGTGACATCATAGCAGCTGTAACATCCTTTATAGAAGCAGTTGCAGCAGTAGAGGATTGGTCCCTTTCATAATGTGTGCATCCTAAATGGCTCCCTATACACCAGTGCATTCTGAAAGTATTCAGACCCCTTGACTTTTTCCACATTTTGATACGTTACAGCCTTATTCTAAAACAGATTGAATTAAATATTTTCCTCATCAATGTACACACAATACCCCATACTGACAAAGTGAAAATAGGTTTTTTAAAATGTTTGCAAATGTATTAAAAATACAAAACTGAAAGACCTTATTTACATAAACATTCAGACTCAAAATTGAGCTCAGGTCAAATCAAATCAAATCAAATTTTATTGGTCACATGCGCCGAATACAACAGGTGCAGACATTACAGTGAAATGCTTACTTACAGCCCTTAACCAACAGTGCATTTATTTTAAACAAAAAAAGTAAAAATAAAACAACAACAAAAAAAGTGTTGAGAAAAAAAGAGCAGAAGTAAAATAAAGTGACAGTAGGGAGGCTATATATATAATAAAATAAAGTGACAGTAGGGAGGCTATATATACAGGGGGGTACCGTTGCAGAGTCAATGTGCGGGGGCACCGGCTAGTTGAGGTAGTTGAGGTAATATGTACATGTGGGTAGAGTTAAAGTGACTATGCATAAATACTTAACAGAGTAGCAGCAGCGTAAAAAGGATGGGGTGGGGGGGGGCAGTGCAAATAGTCCGGGTAGCCATGATTAGCTGTTCAGGAGTCTTATGGCTTGGGGGTAGAAGCTGTTGAGAAGTCTTTTGGACCTAGACTTGGCACTCCGGTACCGCTTGCCGTGCGGTAGCAGAGAGAACAGTCTATGACTAGGGTGGCTGGAGTCTTTGACAATTTTGAGGGCCTTCCTCTGACACCGCCTGGTATAGAGGTCCTGGATGGCAGGGAGCTTTGCCCCAGTGATGTACTGGGCCGTACGCACTACCCTCTGTAGTGCCTTGCGGTCAGAGGCCAAGCAGTTGCCATACCAGGCGGTGATGCAACCAGTCAGGATGCTCTCGATGGTGCAGCTGTAGAATTTTTTGAGGATCTGAGGACCCATGCCAAATCTTTTTAGTCTCCTGAGGGGGAATAGGCTTTGTCGTGCCCTCTTCACGACTGTCTTGGTGTGTTTGGACCATGATAGTTCTTTGGTGATGTGGACACCAAGGAACTTGAAGCTCTCAACCTGTTCCACTACAGCCCCGTCGATGAGAATGGGGGCGTGCTCAGTCCTCTTTTTTTTCCTGTAGTCCACAATCATCTCCTTTGTCTTGGTCACGTTGAGGGAGAGGTTGTTGTCCTGGCACCACACGGCCAGATCTCTGACCTCCTCCCTATAGGCTGTCTCATCGTTGTCGGTGATCAGGCCTACCACTGTTGTGTCGTCGGCAAACTTAATGATGGTGTTGGAGTCGTGCCTGGCCATGCAGTCATGGGTGAACAGAGAGTACAGGAGGGGACTGAGCACGCACCCCTGAGGGGCCCCCGTGTTGAGGATCAGTGTGGCAGATGTGTTGTTACCTATCCTTACCACCTGGGGGCGGCCCGTCAGGAAGTCCAGGATCCAGTTGCAGAGGGAGGTGTTTAGTCCCAGGATCCTTAGCTTAGTGATGAGCTTAGAGGGCACTATGGTGTTGAATGCTGAGCTGTAGTCAATGAATAGCATTCTCACGTAGGTGTTCCTCTTGTCCAGGTGGGAAAGGGCAGTGTGGAATGCGATAGAGATTGCATCATCTGTGGATCTGTTGGGGCGGTATGCAAATTGGAGTGGGTCTAGGGTTTCTGGGATTATGCTGTTGATGTGAGCCATGACCAGTCTTTCAAAGCACTTCATGGCTACAGACGTCAGTGCTACGGGTCGGTAGTCATTTAGGCAGGTTATCTTAGAGTTCTTGGGCACGGGGACTATGGTGGTCTGCTTGAAACATGTTGGTATTACAGACTCAGTCAGGGACATGTTGAAAATGTCAGTGAAGACACTTGCCAGTTGGTCAGCACATGCTCGGAGTACACGTCCTGGTAATCCGTCTGGCCCTGCGGCCTTGTGAATGTTGACCTGCTTAAAAGTCTTACTCACATCGGCTACGGAGAGCGTGATCACATAGTCGTCCGGAACAGCTGGTGCTCTCATGCATGCTTCAGTGTTGCTTGCCTCGAAGCGAGCATAGAAGTGGTTTAGCTCGTCTGGTAGGCTTGTGTCACTGGGCAGCTCGCGGCTGTGCTTCCCTTTGTAGTCTGTAATAGTTTTCAAGCCCTGCCACATCCGACGAGCGTCAGAGCCAGTGTAGTATGATTCAATCTTAGACCTGTATTGACTCTTTGCCTGTTTGATGGTTCGTCGGAGGTCATAGCGGGATTTCTTATAAGCGTCCGGGTTAGAGTCCCGTTCCTTGAAAGCGGCAGCTCTACCCTTTAGCTCAGTGCGGATGTTTCCTGTAATCCATGGCTTCTGGTTGGGGTATGTACGTACGGTCACTGTGGGGACGACATCATCGATGCACTTATTGATGAAGCCAGTGACTGATGTGGTGTACTCCTCAATGCTGTCTGAAGAATCCCGGAACATGTTCCAGTCTGTGCTAGCAAAACAGTCCTGTAGCTTAGCATCTGCGTCATCTGACCACTTTTTTATTAACCGAATCACTGGTGCTTCCTGCTTCAGTTTTTGCTTATAAGCAGGAATCAGGAGGATAGAGTTAGCTTTGCCAAATGGAGGGCGAGCTTTGCCAAATGGAGGGCGAGGGAGAGCTTTGTATGCGTCTCTGTGTGTGGAGTAAAGGTGGTCTAGAGTTTTTTCCCCTCTGGTTGCACATTTAACATGCTGGTAGAAATTAGGTAGAATGGATTTAAGTTTCCCTGCATTAAAGTCCCCGGCTACTAGGAGCGCTGCATCTGTATGAGCGTTTTCCTGTTGATTAATGGCCTTGTACAACTCATTCAGTGCAATCTTAATGCCAGCATTGGTTTGTGGTGGTAAATAGACAGCTATGAAAAATATAGATGAAAACTCTCTTGGTAAATAGTGTGGTCTACAGCTTATCATAAGATACTCTACCTCAGGCGAGCAAAACCTAGAGACTTCCTTAGTATTTGATTTTGTGCACCAGCTGTTGTTTACAAATATACAGAGACCGCCACCCCTTGTCTTACCAGAGTCTGCCGTTCTGTCCTGTCGATGTAGCGTATAGCCTGCTAGCTGAATGTTATCATTGTTGTCGTTCAGCCACGACTCCGTGAAACATAAGATATTACAGTTTTTAATGTCCCGTTGGTAGGATAACTGTAATCTTAAATCGTCAATTTTATTCTCAAAAGATTGAACGTTGGCTAATAGGATTGATGGGAGAGGCAGTTTACTCGCTCGCCGTCGGATCCTTACAAGGCACCCGGATCTGCGTCCGCGATATCTCCGTCTCTTCCTCACGCGAATGACGGGGATCTGGGCCTTGTCGGTTGTCTGTAGGATATCCTTCGCGAACGCCTCGTTGAAGAAAAAATCTTCGTCCAATGCGAGGTGAGTAATCGCTGTCCTGATATCCAGAAGCTCTCTTTGGTTATAAGAGACGATGGCAGAAACATTATGTACAAAATAGATTACAAATAACGCGGAAAAACACACATAATAGTACAATTGGTTAGAGGGCTGTAAAACGGCAGCCATCTTCTCCGGCGCTGTTTGGTCAGCAGTGCATCCTGCAGTGCATCCTGTTTCCATTGATCATCCTTGAGATGTTTCTACAACTTGATTGGAGTCCACCTGTGGTAAATTAAATTGATTGGACATGATTTGGAAAGGCACACACCTGTTTATATAAGGTCCCACAGTTGACAGTACATGTCAGAACAAAAACCAAGCCATGAGGTCGAAGGAATTGTCCGTAGAGCTCCGAGACAGGATTGTGCCGAGGCACAGATCTGGGGAAGGGTACCAACAAATGTTTGCAGCATTGAAGATCCCCAAGAACACAGTGGCCTCCATCATTCTTAAATGGAAAAAGTTTCGAACCACCAAGACTCTTCCTAGAGCTGGCTGCCCGGCCAAACTGAGCAATCGGGGGAGAAGGGCCTTGGTCAGGGAGGTGACCAAGAACCTGATGGTCACTCTAACAGAGCTCCAGAGTTCCTCTGTGTAGATGGGAGAACCTTCCAGAAGGACAACCATCTCTGCAGCACTCCACCAATCAGGCCTTTATGGTAGAGTGGCCAGACGGAAGCCACTCCTCAGTAAAAGGCACATGACAGCCCGCTTGGAGTTTGCCAAAAGGCACCTAAAGACTCTTAGACCATGAGAAACAAGATTCTCTGGTCTGATGAAACCAGGATTGAACTCTTTGGCCTGAATGCCAGTGTCACGTCTGGAGGAAACCTGGCAAAATCCCTACGGTGAAGCATGGTGGTGGCAGTATCATGCTGTGGGGATGTTTTTCAGCAGCAGGGACTGGGAGACTAGTCAGGATCGATGGAAAGATGAACGGAGCAAAGTACAGAGAGATCCTTGATGAAAACCTGCTCAGGACCTCAGACTGGGGCGAAGGTTCACCTTCCAACAGGACAACGACCCTAAGCACACAGCCAAGATAATGCAGGAGTGGCTTCGGGACAAGTCTCTGAATGTCCTTGAGTGGCCCAGCCAGAGCCCAGACTTGAACCCGATCTAACGTCTCTGGAGAGACCTGAAAATAGCTGTTCAGCGACGCTCCCCATCCATCCTGACAGAGCTTGAGAGGATCTGCAGAGAAGAATGGGAGAAACTCCCCAAATACAGGTGTGCCAATCTTGTAGCGTCATACCCAAGAAGACTCGAAGTTGTAATCGTTGCCAAAGGTGCTTGAACAATGTACTGAGTAAAGGGTCTGAATACTTGATTTTTAATAAATTGGCACAAAAAAAAAAATTATATATATATATATATACTGTTTTGCTTTGTCATTATGGGGTGTTGTGTGTAGATGAGGGGAAAAACAATTTAATCAATTTTAGAATAAGACTGTAATGTAACAAAATGTGAAAAAAAGTCAAGGGGTCTGAATACTTTCCGAAGGCACTGTATATATATATACATACTGTAGGTTCAGAACTATATGTATGGCCTACAGAGGGAATAAGGTGCTATTTGGGACATATATAATATCATAACATATAATAACATCATAATATGATTAATAACATCATAATATGATTAATAACAGCCACCCTCTCACTGCTATAGTCTGATGTCATCATTCTGTGGAGGACACAGTGAGGAACCCTGGGTACTGGTGACAGACTGTCTGTCTCTGTATGAGATCTACCAGATAATAACGTTTCCTCTGCTAGGACCAGGCCCATAGGGAATCGGCTGCCATTTGGGATGCATTCATTTCCTCTGGTAGTTGTAGTGCTGTATAGTATTGTTCCAATCAAATAGCAATACAAATGAAGAACCTAATGTACTGAACTGAAGAACCTAATGTACTGAACTGAAGAACCTAATGTACTGAACTGAAGAACCTAATGTACTGAACTGAAGAACCTAATGTACTGAACTGAAGAACCTAATGTACTGAACTGAAGAACCTAATGTACTGAACTGAAGAACCTAATGTACTGAACTGAAGAACCTAATGTACTGAATTGAAGAACCTAATGTACTGAACTGAAGAGCCTAATGTACTGAACTGAATGACCTAATGTACTGAACTGAAGAACCTAATGTACTGAATTGAAGAACCTAATGTACTGAACTGAAGAGCCTAATGTACTGAACTGAAGAACCTAATGTACTGAACAGAAGAACCTAATGTACTGAACTGAAGAACCTAATGTACTGAACTGAAGAACCTAATGTACTGAACTGAAGAACCTAATGTACTGAACTGAAGAACCTAATGTACTGAATTGAAGAACCTAATGTACTGAACTGAAGAACCTAATGTACTGAACTGAAGAACCTAATGTACTGAACTGAAGAACCTAATGTACTGAACTGAAGAACCTAATGTACTGAATTGAAGAACCTAATGTACTGAACTGAAGAGCCTAATGTACTGAACTGAATAACCTTATGTACTGAACTGAAGAGCCTAATGTACTGAACTGAAGAACCTAATGTACTGAACAGAAGAACCTAATGTACTGAACTGAAGAACCTAATGTACTGAACTGAAGAACCTAATGTACTGAACTGAAGAACCTAATGTACTGAATTGAAGAACCTAATGTACTGAACTGAAGAACCTAATGTACTGAACTGAAGAACCTAATGTACTGAACTGAAGAACCTAATGTACTGAACTGAAGAACCTAATGTACTGAACTGAAGAACCTAATGTACTGAACTGAAGAGCCTAATGTACTGAACTGAAAAACCTAATGTACTGAACTGAAAAACCTAATGTACTGAACTGAAGAACCTAATGTACTGAACTGAAGAACCTAATGTACTGAATTGAAGCAGCATGAAATTCTTATACAGGTGATGGCAACCAACCCCAACTGTCTCACTATTCCCTATATATATATAGTGCAGTACTTTACAGGGTTCTGGTCAAAAGCAGTGCACTATATAGGGAATAGAGTGCCATTTGAGACTCAGAGGTAATATATTGAACTGAATCATTTTCATTCAGTAGGAAAGTCTCTTACAGCTGAAGGATGATTCGAACCCAACTGGCTCCCAGATCACCTCTCCCTGCCAGATATCCTCTCCCTGCCAGATATCCTCTCCCTGCCAGATATCCTCTCCCTGCCAGATATCCTCTCCCTGCCAGATATCCTCTCCCTGCCAGATATCCTCTCCCTGCCAGACCTCCTCTCCCTGTCAGATATCCTCTCCCTGCCAGATCTCCTCTACCTGCCAGACATCTCCCTGACAGACTTCCTCTCCCTCCCAGATCTCCTCTCCCTGCCAGACCTCCTCTCCCTGCCAGACCTCCTCTCCCTGCCAGACATCCTCTCCCTGCCAGATATCCTCTACCTGCCAGACATCTCCCTGACAGACTTCCTCTCCCTGCCAGACCTCCTCTCCCTGCCAGACCTCCTCTCCCTGTCAGATCACCTCTCCCTGCCAGACCTCCTCTCCCTGCCAGACCTCCTCTCCCTGTCAGATATCCTCTCCCTGCCAGATATCCTCTACCTGCCAGACATCTCCCTGACAGACTTCCTCTCCCTGCCAGACCTCCTCTCCCTGTCAGATCACCTCTCCCTCCCAGACTTCCTCTCCCTGCCAGACCTCCTCTCCCTGTCAGATCTACTCTCCCTCCCATATCTCCTCTCCCTGCCAGACCTCCTCTCCCTGCCAGACCTCCTCTCCCTGCCAGACCTCCTCTCCCTGTCAGATATCCTCTCCCTGCCAGATATCCTCTACCTGCCAGACATCTCCCTGACAGACTTCCTCTCCCTGCCAGACCTCCTCTCCCTGTCAGATCACCTCTCCCTCCCAGACCTCCTCTCCCTGCCAGACCTCCTCTCCCTGCCATCCACTTAACTGTGGTCAGCTGGGGGGAGAATCAGAGGAAGCCATTAGGTTTTAACGTGGAGCCGATTAAGAGCCGGGACTTGTTATCCTTCCCAGCTAGCTGCTGCTCTGCTCCACACATGTGTATCACATGTCAGATGTGGTAACAATGTAGCTACATCACATAAATCACTTCCTTATTCATTAGTTAATGGTCCTCTGTAGCTCAGCTGGTAGAGCACGGCACTTGTAACGCCAAGGTAGTGGGTTCGATCCCCGGGACCACCCATACACAAAAAATGTATGCACGCATGACTGTAAGTCGCTTTGGATAAAAGCGTCTGCTAAATGGCATATTATTATAGTTAGTTTCTATTGGATCTGACACTGACTCATTCAGAGGGATGAAACTCTCCCTCTACCCAGAACTTGACCCCAACCTGACCCCCCCTCTGACCCCATCCTGACCCTCCCTCTGACCCTCCCTCCAACCCCAACCTGACCCTCCCTCCAACCCCAACCTGACCCTCCCTCCGACCCCAACCTGACCCTCCCTCCGACCCCAACCTGACCCTCCCTCCAACCCCAACCTGACCCTCCCTCCAACCATAACCTGACCCTCCCTCCAACCCCAACCTGACCCTCCCTCCAACCCCAACCTGACCCTCCCTCCAACCATAACCTAACCCTCCCTCCAACCATAACCTGACCCTCCCTCCAACCCCAACCTGACCCTCCCTCCAACCCCATCCTGACCCTCCCTCCAACCCCAACCTGACCCTCCCTCCAACCCCAACCTGACCCTCCCTCCAACCATAACCTAACCCTCCCTCCAACCATAACCTGACCCTCCCTCCAACCCCAACCTGACCCTCCCTCCAACCCCATCCTGACCCTCCCTCCGACCCCAACCTGACCCCCCCTCCAACCCCAACCTGACCCCCCCTCCAACCCCAACCTGACCCTCCCTCCAACCCCAACCTAACCCTCCCTCTGCTCTGGCCCAACCATAACCTAACCCTCCCTCCGCTCTGGCCCAACCATAACCTAACCCTCCCTCTGCTCTGGCCCAACCATTACCTAACCCTCCCTCCGCTCTGGCCCAACCATTACCTAACCCTCCCTCCGCTCTGGCCCAACCATTACCTAACCCTCCCTCCGCTCTGGCCCAACCATTACCTAACCCTCCCTCCGCTCTGGCCCAACCATAACCTAACCCTCCCTCTGCTCTGGCCCAACCATAACCTAACCCTCCCTCCGCTCTGGCCCAACCATTACCTAACCCTCCCTCCGCTCTGGCCCAACCATTACCTAACCCTCCCTCCGCTCTGGCCCAACCATTACCTAACCCTCCCTCTGCTCTGGCCCAAATATAACCTAACCCTCCCTCCGCTCTGGCCCAACCATAACCTAACCCTCCCTCCGCTCTGGCCCAACCATAACCTAACCCTCCCTCCGCTCTGGCCCAACCATAACCTAACCCTCCCTCCGCTCTGGCCCAACCATTACCTAACCCTCCCTCTGCTCTGGCCCAACCATAACCTAACCCTCCCTCCGCTCTGGCCCAACCATAACCTAACCCTCCCTCCGCTCTGGCCCAACCATAACCTAACCCTCCCTCTGCTCTGGCCCAACCATTACCTAACCCTCCCTCCGCTCTGGCCCAACCATTACCTAACCCTCCCTCCGCTCTGGCCCAACCATTACCTAACCCTCCCTCTGCTCTGGCCCAAATATAACCTAACCCTCCCTCCGCTCTGGCCCAACCATTACCTAACCCTCCCTCCGCTCTGGCCCAACCACAACCCCAGAGGTGACCAAGGCACCAGGAGAGACATCACTTACATCCATGGATGGAAACCACTCCCATAATCGTTCTCTTTAACAGGAGAATCAGTGTGACCTAAATATTGACATTCATTAGCCAACTGCATGTAAAGGAAACCAGGAATAGATCCATCTGGTGTGGAGGTGTGGTGGAATTGTAGGATGCATCCAAAATGGTACCATATTCCCTATATTTGGCACTACTTTTGACAAGGGCCCATATGGCTTTGGTTAGAAGCAGTGCACTTCGTAGAGAATATGGTGCAATTTGGGACACAGGCTTAGTTTGCTAATAAACAGTCGACCACAAGGCCTGTCAGATCCTACCAGCTCTCACAGTCTCACGTCAGAATTAGACGTTCATCCATGTTTCTCAAACATCTTATTTCAAAGTTGTTCCAAACGTCAAATTTCAAAGGTTTTAAGGTTAAATTCAGGCATTAACTCCAAATTCTTAAGGTTAGGGATTAACTCTGAATGGTTAAGGTAGGGTTTAAGGTTTGGGATAGGTTTAAAACAAAAATAATTTTCTATCGCTGGATTTGAACTTGCAACCTTTAGAATCAGAGGCAGATGCATACACCCATCTGCCATCCCCGTCCTCAACACCCCAGCAAAACTACTTCAAAGTAACAGTGCTCACTGTTGCCCCTAGTGGACGGTTTCCACGTTATCTCCAAACATCCTCAGACATGGATGGATGTCAAATACTTGTTTGTATCACGGGTGACCTGGCTGGTCAGATCTGAGCTATGATCTGCAGGAGGACCGCAGGCTCCTCAGACTGTCAGATCTTAACTACGATCTGCAGGAGGACTGCAGGCTCCTCAGACTCTGCTCTATTGAGGTTAGACCGTGTTTCATCTCCTAGTGAGGCCTAAATATCATCAGACAGGAGCCTCGCTTTAAAGCATTCCCCCAGCAGCAGGGCTTACCAGCAGGAATGTGTGAAGAGAGGAGTTGGGGGGTTTTCACTGGGTTTCTAAAGGTTATTCTTCTTGAAATATTTGATCTGTATCTTTCGGTGTCTCGTTGTTTCTCGTGTTTCGTGACCCTGTGAGATGAGATGTTCGTGCAGATGAGAGAGAAATTGAATTGTGGTCTTTCTGAGAAAGAGTTGATCTGCATCCAAAAATTATCCCAGTTATCGAAAACAGACATTGTTGAAACTGGGACTGAATGAAGATAAAAATATGGCATTAGAGCATGGTGTTTTACCCAGAGAGGGTGAAAACATGCTTTGGTGTTGAAATTTCACTTCCTTATGTTATAAAATACATTTTAGCACGACAAATATGATTATTCATGTTCTGAATCTGTTGACATAGCGGTGCAGTTTTCTCCTTTTGAGGGTTTTACATTTTGTGGTCGTCATCTTGAAAGTTGTTTCTGCGGTTCGCAAAAAGCAAAATTAGCGTGACACGAGCTGAATTAAATCTAAAAGGCTTTGAAAATAAAAAGCTTGGTATATGTTCAGTGCTCCGTTGACATTTCACAGACATACGCTTGTTTTTGTAAGAAATCTTAGAAAAAGAACAGGAATTTCAAATTAAGATGAAAATACTGCGTCATGTCTCAAAATCAATATCTTACCTCTATATTGTTTAATGTCCTGCCTATTGGAGAAGAAAGATGAGTTCAATGTGAAAGTTTCAAGGTAGCCAGTGTTTCAATCCACCTAGCTGACGCCTTATCTTAGCTCATTGGTCACCATAGCAACACCCACCCGTAGTCTGCGCTCCAGCAGGTATATCTCACTGGTCATCCCCAAAGCCAACACCTCCTTTGGCCGTCATTCCTTCCAGTTCTCTGACTGGAACGAATTGCAAAAATCTCTGAAACTGGAGACTCTTATCTCCCTCACTAACTTTAAGCATCAGTTGTCAGAGCACCTTACCGATCACTGCACCTGTACACAGCCCATCTGAAATTAGCCCACCCAACTACCTCATCCCCATATTGTTATTTATTTTGCTAATTTGCACCCCAGTATCTCTATTTGCACATCATCTTCTGCACATTTTCTATTGTGTTTTTGATACAGGCCCCGTGTAGCTCAGTTGGTAGAGCATGGTGCTCGCAACGCCAGGGTTGTGGGTTCAATTCCCACGGTGGGCCAGTATGAAAAAAATATGTATGCACTAAGTCGCTCTGGATAAGAGCGTCTGCTAAATGACTAAAATGTTGACTGTACATTTTGTTTATTCCATATGTAACTCTGTTGTTGTTTTTATCACACTGCTTTGCTTTATCTTGGCCAGGTCGCAGTTGTAAATGAGAACTTGTTCTCAACTGGCTTACCTGGTTAAATATAGGTTAAATAAAAAATTTAAATTAAATGTGTCCAAAGAATTGGACACAAGGGATACATCCCAAACTGCACACTTATTCCCTATTTAGTGCACTACTTATGACCAGAGCCCATAGAGTTCTACAGTATGTAGGGAACAGAGTGCCATCTGGGACGCAGGGAAGGATTTGAATGTCCCACAGCCCTGTGTGGTCTAACCAGTAGGCTGGTTAACAGCTCAACTCTCCCACAGCCCTGTGTGGTCTAACCAGTAGGTCTGGTTAACAGCTCAAACTCTCCCACAAGCCCTGTGTGGTCTAACCAGTAGGCTGCGTTAACAGATACACCCCTGTGTGGTCTAAACCAGTAGGCTGGTTAACAGCTCACTCTCCCACGGCCCTGTGTGGTCTAACCAGTAGGCTGGTTAAACAGCTTCAAACTCTCCCAACGGCCCTGTGTGGTCTAAACCAGTAGGCCTGGTTAAACAGCTCAACTTTCCCCACAGCCCTGTGTGGTCTAAGCCAGTTAGGGCTGGTTTAAACAGCTCAACTCTCCCACAGCCCGTGTGCGGTCTAACCCAGTAGGCTGGGTTAAACAGATCAACTCTCCCACAGGCCCTGTTGTGGTCTTAACCAGTAGGCTGGTTAACAGCCTAAACTCTCCCACTACGCCCTGTGTGGTCTAACCAGTAGGCTGGTTAACACTACAGCCTGTGTGGTCTAACCAGTAGCTGGTTAACAGCCACAGCCCTGTGTGGTCTAACCAGTAGGCTGGTTAAACATGCTCAAAGCCCTGTGTGGTCTAACCAGTAGGCTGGTTAACAGCTACAGCCCTGTGTGGTCTAACCAGTAGGCTGGTTAACAGCTCAACTCTCCCACAGCCCTGTGTGGTCTAACCAGTAGGCTGGTTAACAGCTAAAGCCCTGTGTGATCTAACCAGTAGGCTGGTTAACAGCTCAACTCTCCCACAGCCCTGTGTGGTCTAACCAGTAGGCTGGTTAACAGCTACAGCCCTGTGTGGTCTAACCAGTAGGCTGGTTAACAGCTACAGCCCTGTGTGGTCTAACCAGTAGGCTGGTTAACAGCTACAGCCCTGTGTGGTCTAACCAGTAGGCTGGTTAACAGCTACAGCCCTGTGTGGTCTAACCAGTAGGCTGGTTAACAGCTAACCAAGCCCTGTGTGGTCTAACCAGTAGGCTGGTTAACAGCGACAGCCGCTGTGTGGTCTAACCAGTAGGCTGGTTAAAACAGCTACAAGCCCTGTTGTGGTCTAACCAGTAAGGCCTGGTTAACAGCTACAGCCCTGTGTGGTCTAACTCATTAGGCCAGTAGGCCTGTGTGTCTAACCAGTGGCTGTTACAGCCAACCCCCTGTTGGTTCTAACCAGTAGGCTGGTTAACAGCTCAACTCTCCCACAGCCCTGTGTGGTCTAACCAGTAGGCTGGTTAAAGCTACGCCCTGTGGTGGTCTAAACCAGTAAGGCTGGTTAAAAGCTACAGCCCTGTGTGGTCTAACCAGTAGGCTGGTTACAGCTAACAGAGCCTGTGGTGGTCTAACCAGTAGGCTGGTTAAGCCTCAACCCTCCACAGCCCTGTGTGGTCTAACCAGTAGGCTGGTTAACAGCTCAACTCTCCCAGCCCTGTGTGGTCTAACCAGTAGGCTGGTTAACAGCTCAACTCTCCCACGGCCCTGTGTGGTCTAACCAGTAGGCTGGTTAACAGCTCAACTCTCCCACAGCCCTGTGTGGTCTAACCAGTAGGCTGGTTAACAGCTCAACTCTCCCACGGCCCTGTGTGGTCTAACCAGTAGGCTGGTTAACAGCTCAACTCTCCCACGGCCCTGTGTGGTCTAACCAGTAGGCTGGTTAACAGCTCAACTCTCCCACGGCCCTGTGTGGTCTAACCAGTAGGCTGGTTAACAGCTCAACTCTCCCACAGCCCTGTGTGGTCTAACCAGTAGGCTGGTTAACAGCTCAACTCTCCCACAGCCCTGTGTGGTCTAACCAGTAGGCTGGTTAACAGCTCAACTCTCCCACAGCCCTGTGTGGTCTAACCAGTAGGCTGGTTAACAGCTCAACTCTCCCACGGCCCTGTGTGGGTCTAACCAGTAGGCTGGTTAACAGCTCAACTCTCCCACGGCCCTGTGTGGTCTAACCAGTAGGCTGGTTAACAGCTAAACTCTCCCACGGCCCTGTGTGGTCTAACCAGTAGGCTGGTTAACAGCTCAACTCTCCCACAGCCCTGTGTGGTCTAACCAGTAACTGGTTAACAGCTCAACTCTCCCACAGCCCTGTGTGGTCTTACCAGTAGGCTGGTTAACAGCTCAACTCTCCCACGGCCCTGTGTGGTCTAACCAGTAGGCTGGTTAACAGCTCAACTCTCCCACGGCCCTGTGTGGTCTAACCAGTAGGCTGGTTAACAGCTCAACTCTCCCACGGCCCTGTGTGGTCTAACCAGTAGGCTGGTTAACAGCTCAACTCTCCCACAGCCCTGTGTGGTCTAACCAGTAGGCTGGTTAACAGCTCAACTCTCCCACAGCCCTGTGTGGTCTAACCAGTAGGCTGGTTAACAGCTCAACTCTCCCACGGCCCTGTGTGGTCTAACCAGTAGGCTGGTTAACAGCTCAACTCTCCCACAGCCCTGTGTGGTCTAACCAGTAGGCTGGTTAACAGCTCAACTCTCCCACAGCCCTGTGTGGTCTAACCAGTAGGCTGGTTAACAGCTCAACTCTCCCACAGCCCTGTGTGGTCTAACCAGTAGGCTGGTTAACAGCTCAACTCTCCCACAGCCCTGTGTGGTCTAACCAGTAGGCTGGTTAACAGCTCAACTCTCCCACGGCCCTGTGTGGTCTAACCAGTAGGCTGGTTAACAGCTCAACTCTCCCACGGCCCTGTGTGGTCTAACCAGTAGGCTGGTTAACAGCTCAACTCTCCCACAGCCCTGTGTGGTCTAACCAGTAGGCTGGTTAACAGCTCAACTCTCCCACAGCCCTGTGTGGTCAAACCAGTAGGCTGGTTAACAGCTCAACTCTCCCACAGCCCTGTGTGGTCTAACCAGTAGGCTGGTTAACAGCTCAACTCTCCCACGGCCCTGTGTGGTCTAACCAGTAGGCTGGTTAACAGCTAAACTCTCCCACAGCCCTGTGTGGTCTAACCAGTAGGCTGGTTAACAGCTCAACTCTCCCACAGCCCTGTGTGGTCTAACCAGTAGGCTGGTTAACAGCTACAGCCCTGTGTGGTCTAACCAGTAGGCTGGTTAACAGCTCAACTCTCCCACAGCCCTGTGTGGTCTAACCAGTAGGCTGGTTAACAGCTCAACTCTCCCACAGCCCTGTGTGGTCTCTAACCAGTAGGCTGGTTAACAGCTCAACTCTCCCACAGCCCTGTGTGGTCTAACCAGTAGGCTGGTTAACAGCTCAACTCTCCCACAGCCCTGTGTGGTCTAACCAGTAGGCTGGTTAACAGCTCAACTCTCCCACAGCCCTGTGTGGTCTAACCAGTAGGCTGGTTAACAGCTCAACTCTCCCACAGCCCTGTGTGGTCTAACCAGTAGGCTGGTTAACAGCTCAACTCTCCCACGGCCCTGTGTGGTCTAACCAGTAGGCTGGTTAACAGCTCAACTCTCCCACGGCCCTGTGTGGTCTAACCAGTAGGCTGGTCAACAGCTCAACTCTCCCACAACCCTGTGTGGTCTAACCAGTAGGCTGGTTAACAGCTCAACTCTCCCACGGCCCTGTGTGGTCTAACCAGTAGGCTGGTTAACAGCTCAACTCTCCCACAGCCCTGTGTGGTCTAACCAGTAGGTGGTTAACAGCTCAACTCTCCCACAGCCCTGTGTGGTCTAACCAGTAGGCTGGTTAACAGCTCAACTCTCCCACAGCCCTGTGTGGTCTAACCAGTAGGTTGGTTAACAGCTCAACTCTCCCACAGCCCTGTGTGGTCTAACCAGTAGGCTGGTTAACAGCTCAACTCTCCCACAGCCCTGTGTGGTCTAACCAGTAGGCTGGTTAACAGCTCAACTCTCCCACAGCCCTGTGTGGTCTAACCAGTAGGCTGGTTAACAGCTCAACTCTCCCACGGCCCTGTGTGGTCTAACCAGTAGGCTGGTTAACAGCTCAACTCTCCCACGGCCCTGTGTGGTCTAACCAGTAGGCTGGTTAACAGCTCAACTCTCCCACAGCCCTGTGTGGTCTAACCAGTAGGTTGGTTAACAGCTCAACTCTCCCACAGCCCTGTGTGGTCTAACCAGTAGGCTGGTTAACAGCTCAACTCTCCCACAGCCCTGTGTGGTCTAACCAGTAGGTTGGTTAACAGCTCAACTCTCCCACAGCCCTGTGTGGTCTAACCAGTAGGCTGGTTAACAGCTCAACTCTCCCACAGCCCTGTGTGGTCTAACCAGTAGGCTGGTTAACAGCTCAACTCTCCCACAGCCCTGTGTGGTCTAACCAGTAGGCTGGTTAACAGCTCAACTCTCCCACGGCCCTGTGTGGTCTAACCAGTAGGCTGGTTAACAGCACAACTCTCCCACAGCCCTGTGTGGTCTAACCAGTAGGCTGGTTAACAGCTCAACTCTCCCACAGCCCTGTGTGGTCTAACCAGTAGGCTGGTTAACAGCTCAACTCTCCCACGGCCCTGTGTGGTCTAACCAGTAGGCTGGTTAACAGCTCAACTCTCCCACGGCCCTGTGTGGTCTAACCAGTAGGCTGGTTAACAGCTCAACTCTCCCTAGGCCCTGTGTGGTCTAACCAGTAGGCTGGTTAACAGCTCAACTCTCCCACAGCCCTGTGTGGTCTAACCAGTAGGCTGGTTAACAGCTCAACTCTCCCACAGCCCTGTGTGGTCTAACCAGTAGGCTGGTTAACAGCTCAACTCTCCCACGGCCCTGTGTGGTCTAACCAGTAGGCTGGTTAACAGCTCAACTCTCCCACGGCCCTGTGTGGTCTAACCAGTAGGCTGGTTAACAGCTCAACTCTCCCACGGCCCTGTGTGGTCTAACCAGTAGGCTGGTTAACAGCTCAACTCTCCCACGGCCCTGTGTGGTCTAACCAGTAGGCTGGTTAACAGCTACAGCCCTGTGTGGTCTAACCAGTAGGCTGGTTAACAGCTCAACTCTCCCACAGCCCTGTGTGGTCTAACCAGTAGGCTGGTTAACAGCTCAACTCTCCCACAGCCCTGTGTGGTCTAACCAGTAGGCTGGTTAACAGCTCAACTCTCCCACAGCCCTGTGTGGTCTAACCAGTAGGCTGGTTAACAGCTCAACTCTTCCACGGCCCTGTGTGGTCTAACCAGTAGGCTGGTTAAAAGCTCAACTCTCCCACGGCCCTGTGTGGTCTAACCAGTAGGCTGGTTAACAGCTCAACTCTCCCACGGCCCTGTGTGGTCTAACCAGTAGGCTGGTTAACAGCTCAACTCTCCCACAGCCCTGTGTGGTCTAACCAGTAGGCTGGTTAACAGCTAAACTCTCCCACAGCCCTGTGTGGTCTAACCAGTAGGCTGGTTAACAGCTCAACTCTCCCACGGCCCTGTGTGGTCTAACCAGTAGGCTGGTTAACAGCTCAACTCTCCCACGGCCCTGTGTGGTCTAACCAGTAGGCTGGTTAACAGCTCAACTCTCCCACGGCCCTGTGTGGTCTAACCAGTAGGCTGGTTAACAGCTCAACTCTCCCACGGCCCTGTGTGGTCTAACCAGTAGGCTGGTTAACAGCTACAGCCCCTGTGTGGTCTAACCAGTAGGCTGGTTAACAGCTCAACTCTCCCACAGCCCTGTGTGGTCTAACCAGTAGGCTGGTTAACAGCTCAACTCTCCCACAGCCCTGTGTGGTCTAACCAGTAGGCTGGTTAACAGCTCAACTCTCCCACAGCCCTGTGTGGTCTAACCAGTAGGCTGGTTAACAGCTCAACTCTTCCACGGCCCTGTGTGGTCTAACCAGTAGGCTGGTTAAAAGCTCAACTCTCCCACGGCCCTGTGTGGTCTAACCAGTAGGCTGGTTAACAGCTCAACTCTCCCACGGCCCTGTGTGGTCTAACCAGTAGGCTGGTTAACAGCTCAACTCTCCCACAGCCCTGTGTGGTCTAACCAGTAGGCTGGTTAACAGCTAAACTCTCCCACGGCCCTGTGTGGTCTAACCAGTAGGCTGGTTAACAGCTCAACTCTCCCACGGCCCTGTGTGGTCTAAACCAGTAGGCTGGTTAACAGCTCAACTCTCCCACGGCCCTGTGTGGTCTAACCAGTAGGCTGGTTAACAGCTCAACTCTCCCACGGCCCTGTGTGGTCTAACCAGTAGGCTGGTTAACAGCTCAAACTCTCCCACGGCCCTGTGTGGTCTAACCAGTAGGCTGGTTAACAGCTCAACTCTCCCACGGCCCTGTGTGGTCTAACCAGTAGGCTGGTTAACAGCTCAACTCTCCCACGGTCCTGTGTGGTCTAACCAGTAGGCTGGTTAACAGCTCAACTCTCCCACGGCCCTGTGTGGTCTAACCAGTAGGCTGGTTAACAGCTAAACTCTCCCACGGCCCTGTGTGGTCTAACCAGTAGGCTGGTTAACAGCTCAACTCTCCCACGGCCCTGTGTGGTCTAACCAGTAGGCTGGTTAACAGCTCAACTCTCCCACGGCCCTGTGTGGTCTAACCAGTAGGCTGGTTAACAGCTCAACTCTCCCACGGCCCTGTGTGGTCTAACCAGTAGGCTGGTTAACAGCTCAACTCTCCCACGGCCCTGTGTGGTCTAACCAGTAGGCTGGTTAACAGCTCAACTCTCCCACGGCCCTGTGTGGTCTAACCAGTAGGCTGGTTAACAGCTCAACTCTCCCACGGCCCTGTGTGGTCTAACCAGTAGGCTGGTTAACAGCTCAACTCTCCCACAGCCCTGTGTGGTCTAACCAGTAGGCTGGTTAACAGCTCAACTCTCCCACAGCCCTGTGTGGTCTAACCAGTAGGCTGGTTAACAGCTCAACTCTCCCACAGCCCTGTGTGGTCTAACCAGTAGGCTGGTTAAGAGCTCAACTCTCCCACGGCCCTGTGTGGTCTAACCAGTAGGCTGGTTAACAGCTCAACTCTCCCACAGCCCTGTGTGGTCTAACCAGTAGGCTGGTTAACAGCTCAACTCTCCCACGGCCCTGTGTGGTCTAACCAGTAGGCTGGTTAACAGCTCAACTCTCCCACAGCCCTGTGTGGTCTAACCAGTAGGCTGGTTAACAGCTACAGCCCTGTGTGGTCTAACCAGTAGGCTGGTTAACAGCTCAACTCTCCCACGGCCCTGTGTGGTCTAACCAGTAGGCTGGTTAACAGCTCAACTCAACCTACTTCCACCACTGCTGTATACTGTGTGTTTGAACTATACAGTTCAGAAACACTTGTTGTTAATGCATTAAACATGACACGTTTCCTCTTGTGTTGGTAAATGTTTTTTCCGCAGTTTTGCACATACTGTATAAATGTCTGTTAATTGTTTTTCCATTTTATAATTTGAATTTTAATTGAAAGGGGATTAAGGACTGAGTGTAAAATGATTCCTGCTGCTGAACACAGAGAAATGGACCAATCTCATTCTGCAGAGAAACTTCACAGACAATCCTTGACTAAGACATATTTAGTGTTTAGTAATAATAAGTATTTAATCTTCAATAGAAAATATAGATTTATGATTTATGATATGATTTAAGTGTCTCTTCAGTAGTGTTTTAAAGGATACTCCAACATTTGATTATTCATTTTAAGAGTCTGAGTCAGAGATGATCAGTCCAATGAAGAGGGTCAGTGCATCAAATAGCCCCAAGGACAAATTCTCAGCTACATTCACACAGCAGAATGCAGAGCCAAACTGATTCACACAGCAGAATGCAGAGCCAAACTGATTCACACAGCAGAATGCAGAGCCAAACTGATTCACACAGCAGAATGCAGAGCCAAACTGATTCACACAGCAGAATGCAGAGCCAAACGGATTCACACAGCAGAATGCAGAGCCAAACTGATTCACACAGCAGAATGCAGAGCCAAACTGATTCACACAGCAGAATGCAGAGCCAAACTGATTCACACAGCAGAATGCAGAGCCAAACTGATTCACACAGCAGAATGCAGAGCCAAACTGATTCACACAGCAGAATGCAGAGCCAAACTGATTCACACAGCAGAATGCAGAGCCAAACTGATTCACACAGCAGAATGCAGAGCCAAACTGATTCACACAGCAGAATGCAGAGCCAAACTGATTCACACAGCAGAATGCAGAGCCAAACTGATTCACACAGCAGAATGCAGAGCCAAACTGATTCACACAGCAGAATGCAGAGCCAAACTGATTCACACAGCAGAATGCAGAGCCAAACTGATTCACACAGCAGAATGCAGAGCCAAACTGATTCACACAGCAGAATGCATAGCCAAACTGATTCACACAGCAGAATGCAGAGCCAAACTGATTCACACAGCAGAATGCAGAGCCAAACTGATTCACACAGCAGAATGCAGAGCCAAACTGATTCACACAGCAGAATGCAGAGCCAAACTGATTCACACAGCAGAATGCAGAGCCAAACTGATTCACACAGCTGAATGCAGAGCCAAACTGATTCACACAGCAGAATGCAGAGCCAAACTGATTCACACAGCAGAATGCAGAGCCAAACTGATTCACACAGCAGAATGCAGAGAAAAACTCATTACATTCATACAGCGGGCTACATACCACTGGACTGGCACATAATACAGTATATGCCATTTTCCAGGCTCTTCTATCCAAAGTGACTCACAGTCGTACATACATGCACAGCTTTTCTGTTGACTTCAGTCAAACCCACAACCCAAGACATATGGCTAGCAATAATTAGAAGTGGTTATTGCTGGTGCTGTCTGAGTTAGATGCTTGATTTAAGGTCAGAGTTTCACACATGAATTACAAGTTACAATTCGGACCTCAAATGGACCTATTAAAATAGTATACTATTCTAGTATTGTTTCATAGTATGGTTGTAGTATTGTTTCAGAGTATGGGCGTAGTATTGTTTCATAGTATGGTTGTATTATTGTTTCAGAGTATGGTAGTGGTATTGTTTCAGAGTATGGCCGCAGTATTGTTTCAGAGTATGGTAGTAGTATTGTTTCATAGTATGGTTGTAGTATTGTTTCAGAGTATGGTTGTAGTATTGTTTCATGTTATGGTTGTAGTATTGTTTCAGAGTCTGCCAATGGGAGAGTATTGTCTCGGAGTATTGTCTCACAATATGGCAGCATTATGCCATAGTAATTAGTATTGTCTCAGGCTGTGCCAGTGTCTGCCAGAGTAATGAGCATTGTCTCACGTTATGCCAGTGTCTGCCAGTGTAATGAGTATTGTCTCAGGCTGTGCCAGTGTCTGCCAGTGTAATGAGTATTGTCTCAGGCTGTGCCAGTGTCTGCCAGAGTAATGAGTATTGTCTCAGGCTGTGCCAGTGTCTGCCAGAGTAATGAGTATTGTCTCAGGTTATGCCAGTGTCTGCCAGAGTAATGAGTATTGTCTCAGGTTATGCCAGTGTCTGCCAGAGTAATGAGTATTGTCTCAGGCTGTGCCAGTGTCTGCCAGTGTAATGAGTATTGTCTCAGGCTGTGCCAGTGTCTGCCAGTGTAATGAGTATTGTCTCAGGCTGTGCCAGTGTCTGCCAGAGTAATGAGTATTGTCTCAGGCTGTGCCAGTGTCTGCCAGAGTAATGAGTATTGTCTCAGGCTGTGCCAGTGTCTGCCAGAGTAATGAGTATTGTCTCGGGCTGTGCCAGTGTCTGCCAGTGTAATGAGTATTGTCTCAGGCTGTGCCAGTGTCTGCCAGAGTAATGAGTATTGTCTCAGGCTGTGCCAGTGTCTGCCAGAGTAATGAGTATTGTCTCAGGTTATGCCAGTGTCTTCCAGAGTAATGAGTATTGTCTCAGGCTGTGCCAGTGTCTGCCAGAGTAATGAGTATTGTCTCAGGCTGTGCCAGTGTCTGCCAGAGTAATGATTATTGTCTCAGGCTGTGCCAGTATCTGCCAATGTAATGAGTATTGTCTCAGGCTGTGCCAGTGTCTGCCAGAGTAATGAGTATTGTCTCAGGCTGTGCCAGTGTCTGCCAGTGTAATGAGTATTGTCTCAGGCTGTGCCAGTGTCTGCCAGAGTAATTAGTATTGTCTCAGGCTGTGCCAGTGTCTGCCAGAGTAATGAGTATTGTCTCAGGCTGTGCCAGTGTCTGCCAGAGTAATGAGTATTGTCTCAGGCTGTGCCAGTGTCTGCCAGTGTCTACCATCTGAGGCAGTAGCTATTTTTCCTGTTCACCCAGGGATTAACTGGAAAAGTGTCATTGTAATATTGCATGAAACCTTTGTGTTGTTTCTCTCTTGATGCCTCTTAGATTCTGTTGTGACATTCTTTTCATCTGCTGGAACAGGAAACCTCTCGCTGAGAACAAAACAAAAATCCTCCCATTATTTTTTATGACTGGTTGTTGTTTTTATGACTGGTTGTTGTGTACATAAACAGTCAATACATTCATTAGCAGAGGGAAATGTCAAGCATAAAACGCTCAGAGGATGTGATGCTGTGTCAGGACCGGCTCCAGGCATAACGGTTGCTTAGGAACCCAGGGCGCTAGAGTCTTTTTGGTTTGTTTTTGGACCTCAGTCAGGATTCAACTTCCTTATTAAGATCTCAGTCGGGGTTCAACTCACTGTCATGATCTCAGTCGGGGGTTCAACTCACTGTCATGATCTCAGTCGGGGGTTCAACTTACTGTTAGGGCGGCAGGTAGCTTAGTGGTTAAGAGCGTTGTGCCAGTAACCGAAAGGTCGCTGGTTCCAATCCCTGAGCCGACTAGGTGAAAAATCTGTCGATGTGCCCTTGAGCAAGGCACTTAAACCCTAATTGCTCCTGTAAATTGCTCTGGATAAGAGAGTCTGCTAAATGACAAAAAAAGAAAAAAGATCTCAGTCGGTGTTCATCTCATTGTTAAGATCTCAGTCGGGGTTCAACTTCCTGTTAAGATCTCTGTCGGGGGTTCAACTTCCTGTTAAGATCTCAGTCGGGGGTTCAACTTCCTGTTAAGATCTCAGTCGGGGGTTCAACTCACTGTTAAGATCTCAGTCGGGTGTTCAACTTCCTGTTAAGATCTCAGTCGGGTGTTCAACTTCCTGTTAAGATCTCAGTCAGGTGTTCAACTTCCTGTTAAGAGATAGAATACACAAGGTGCCAGTTGTCACGATCGTTGGATATAGAGGACCAAGGCGCAGCGTGGAAGGTGAACATACTTATTTATTAAATGATACACGAACAAAACAACAAATCGATACGTGACGTCCACAGGTGCAAAACACAAACCAACACGGAACAAGATCCCACAAACACTGTGGGAAAACCACCTGACTAAATATGGTTCCCAATCAGAGACAACCAGCAACAGCTGATACTCGTTGCCTCTGATTGAGAACCACTCTGGCCAACATAGATATACAAAAACTAGACTAGACACAACGAGCACAAAACATAAACTCTACACACCCTGGCTCAACTTAAAAGAGTCCCTAGAGCCAGGGCGTGACAGTACCCCCCCTAAAGGCGCGGACTGCGACCGTGCCTAAACATCACCGAACAGGGGAGGGCTGGGTGGGCATTCCTCCTCGGAGGCGGTTCCGGCTCCGGGCTTGACCACCACCCTCTACTAACCCCCCCGTAGTGCCCCTGGTCTGGTCTAGCCCCACTGGCTGGAGCTGGACTGGACTTCGGTGGAGCGGATTGCTCAGGCTCCGGTGTGGAGCAGCTGACCGGTACCTGACCAGGCACCGGTGAAACGGGCACGGGCTGGCGATGCGCACCACAGGTTTGGTGCGGGGAGCAGGAACAGGCCAGACCAGGCTGGCGACGCGCACCATTGGCTTGGTGCGGGGAGCAGGAACAGGCCGGGCCGGGCTGGCGACGCGCACCACTAGCTTGGCGCGGGGAGCAGGAACGGGCCGGGCCGGGCTGGCGACGCACACCATTGGCTTGGTGCGGGGAGAAGGAACAGGCCGGGCCGGGCTGGCGACGCGCACCATAGGCTTGGTGTGAGGGGCAGGAACAGGCCGGGCCGGGCTGGCTACGCGCACCATAGGCTTGGCGCGATGGACAGGAACAGGCCGGACCGTACTGGGAACACACACCACTGGCCTTACACGGGGATCAGGAACGGGCCGGACCGGACTGGCAACACACTTCAGTACCTCTCGCCGTGCCTCTACATTTTCCTTCCCTCTATACACCAATGGCTCCCGTAACCCGGTGGCCTTCTCTCCTCGTCCACCAACTCGCCCCTTATCTGCCTCCAGTGGCCCCGTCGTCCCTTCCATGTGCCCCCCCCTAAAAATGTATTGGGGGTGCCCCTCGCCTGTCCGACGACTGCCCGGTTGGCGCCGCTTCTCCTCTCCTGCCTGGGCACGCTGCTTGGTCCTGTATTGGTGGGATCTTCTGTCAACAGAAGACGAGCGCCGATCTCCACCGCAGTGAGGGACCGGTGTACGCACCGGGAGATCGTGTCTGGCTCTCGACCAGAAACCTGCCCCTTCGCCTGCCCTGCCGGAAGCTGGGTTGGCGGTTTGTGGGGCCTTTTAAAGTCCTGAGGAGGTTGAACGAGGTGTGTTACAGGTTACAATTGCCTATTGATTACAAGAATATAAACCCCTCGTTCCATGTGTCTCTCCTCAGGCCGGTGGTAGCTGGTCCACTCCAGGACTTTGAGATAGAGGAGACTCCTCCGCCCCCGCTGGACATCGAGGGGGCTCCGGCGTACACTGTTCGGTCCATCCTGGATTCGAGACGCCGGATGGGGGGGCTCCAATATCTCGTGGAGTAGGAGGGGTACGGCCCGGAGGAGCGGTGCTGGGTGCCGAGGAGGGACATCTTAGACCCGTCTCTTCTGACCGAGTTCCATCGTGGTCATCCTACGCGCCCTGCTCCGCGTCCGCCTGGTCGTCCTCGAGGCCGGGGTCGGCGCACGGCTGGAGCCGCGCGTCAAGGGGGGGGGTACTGTCACGGTTTCGGCCGAGGCTGCTTCTCCTCCTTGTTCGGGCAGGCTTCGGCGGTCGTCGTCTCCGGAGTACTAGCTGCCACCGTTCTATGTTTCGATGTTCGTTTGGTTTGGTCTGTTTGTACACCTGTTCTTTGTTAGTGTTGATTAGGTGCCCTATAAGTTCTCTTAGGTTTTGTCATGTGTTGTGTGTAATTGTTTCGTGTCAGCTAGGCGTCAGTTTGTTCTCTCTCGTTCTGTTTTGTTTGGAGAGAGTGTCCGCACTGTGTGCGCAGTTTGGGTTACGCACTGTTTCCTGTGTGCGTAATTGTTTCGCTTGCCCTCCGGCTGGGATTTTGCCGTGAGTCTTTTTGTATTGTTTGATCCTCACTAAAGACTGTTGAAGAGCCTCTGTTGTCCTGCGCTTGATTTCTGCACCACATCTACGCTCAGCCCTTGACACCAGTTCAGCAATTTTTCTCTTGTTATGTCAGTCAATGCCAGTCACTCAATTAGCCATGTCAGCTAAAAAATTTTGATTGGTAAATTAGTCCAGGGGCCCTGACCTTATTTATTTAGTTAGTCACTCTCACCCAGATATCATTAATGTGGCGTAAGTCATGGCAAATGTGTAGAATTGCAGTACATTTGGTTTAAAACTGAAAACACTACATGGCAAAATTATTAAAATTGCACAGTGACTATACAAACGTATTGCACAGTGACTATACAAACGTATCCAAACCAAAAGCCATGGATTACAGGCAATATCCGCACTGAGCTAAAGGCTAGACCTACCGCTTACAAGGAACGGGACAGGACTTCGGCGTTACTCTGGACCCTGATATCTTTTTGACGAACATATCAAGAATATTTTAAGGACAGCTTTTTTCCATCTTCGTAACATTGCAAAAAACAGAAACTTTTTGTCAAAAAATTATGCAGAAAAGCTAATCCATGCTTTTGTCACTTCTAGATTAGATTTCTGCAATGCTCTGCTACCCGGATAAAGCACTAAATAAACTTCAGTTAGTGCTAAACACGGCTGCTAGAATCTTGACTAAAACCAAAAAATTGTATCATATTACTCCTGTGCTAGCCACTGGCTTCCTGTTAAGGCTATGGCTGATTTCAAGGTTTTACTGCTAACCTACAAAGCATTACATGGATTTGCTCCTACCTATCTCTCCGATTTGGTCCTGCCGTACATACCTACACGTACCCTACGGTCACAAGACGCAGGCCTCCTTATTGTCCCTAGAATTTCTAAGTAAACAACTGGAGGCAGGGCTTTCTCCTATAGAGCTCCATTTTTATGGAATGGTCTGCCTATCCATGTGAGAGACGCAGACTCGGTCTCGACCTTTAAGTCTTTACTGAAGACTCATCTCTTCAGTAGGTCCTATGATTGAGTGTATTCTGGCCCAGGGGTGCGAAGGTGAACGGCAAGGCACTGGAGCGACAAACCACCCTTGCTGTCTCTACCTGGCCGGTTCCCGTCTCTCCATTGGGATTCTCTGCCTCTGACCCTATTATGGGGGCTGAGTCTATCAATCAATCACATTTTATTTATAAAGCCCTTTTTACATTAGCAGATGTCACAAAGTGCTATACAGAAACCCGGCCTAAAACCCCAAACAGATGTAGAAGCACGGTGACTAGGAAAAACTCCCTAGAAAGGCAGAAACCTAGGAAGAAACCTAGAGAGGAACCAGGCTCTGAGATGTTTCCAGTCCCCTTCTGGCTGTGCTGGGTGGAGAATATAACAGTACATGGCCATTAAGGACTGATTTTTCTCAAACGTTCATAGATGACCAGCAGTGTCAAATAATAATCACAGTGGTTGTAGAGGTTGCAACAGGTCAGAACATCAGGAGTAAATGTCACTTGGCTTTTCATAGCTGGGCATTTAGAGGTTGAAATAGCAGGTGCGGTAGAGCGAGAGAGTTGAAAACAGCAGGTCTGGGACAAGGTAGCACGTCCGGTGAACAGGTCAGGGTTCAATAGCCGCAGGAAGAAGAGTGGAAACTGAAGCAGCAGCACGACCAGGTGGACTGGGGACAGCCAGGAGTCATCAGGCCAGGTAGTCCTGAGGCATGGTCCTAGGGCTCAGGTCCTCTGGGATGGGAGGGAGAGAGGGAGAGAGAGAGAGAGAGAATTAGAGGGGCCATACTTAAATTCACACAGGACACTGGTTAAGACAGGAGAATAACACCAGATAAAACAGACTGACCCTAGCCCCCCGGCACATAGACTATTGCAGCATAGATACTGGAGGCTGAGACAGGGGAGTCGGGAGACACTGTGGCGCAGTCCGATGAAACCCCCTGACAGGGCCAACCAGGCAGGATATAACCCCACCCACTTTGCCAAAGCACAGCCCCCACACCACCAGAAGGATATCAACAGACCACCAACCTACTATCCTGAGACAAGTCTGAGTACAGCCCACGAAGATCTCCTCCACTGCACGAGCATGAGGGAGCGACAAACCGGACAGGAAGATCACGTCAGTGACTCAACCCACTCAAGTGATGCACCCCACCTAGGGACGGCATGGAAAGCACCAGTAAGCCAGTGACTCAGCCCCCGTAATAGGGTCATAGGCAGAGAATCCCAATGGAGAGACAGGAACCGACCAGGCAGAGACAGCTAGGCTGGTTTGTCGCTCCAGTGCCTTTCCGTTCACCTTCGCACCCCTGGGCCAGACTACACTCAATCATAGGACCTACTTGTAGCGGGTAATTTGGAAGGAGTCAGGCGCAGGAGGGTAAATCCCAGAATAAATGGTTTATTCGGAAAATACAGCGGTACGCAGCAATGCATAAATCTCTACAGTAAAACGGTGCACTCGAGAAAACGAAGCACACGGGTGAATATCCCGGCGATACATAAAGCTCCACCGAGCTATCGTCACCCCCACGTGTAAAACAATCACACACAAGACATGGGGGGAAGAGGGAATACTTATACAGGTACTGATGAGGGGATATGAACCAGGTGTGTGTAAAAACAAGACAAAATAAATAGAATGATGAGATTAGGAGCGGAAGTGGCTACAAGGCCGGTGACGACGAACGCCAAAGCCTGCCAGAACAAGCAGAGGAGGGAGCTTCAGAGGAAGTCGTGACATTACCCCCCCCCCCCCTTGAAGCGCAGCTCCAGCAGCGCGCCGACACCGGCCTCGGGGACAGCCAGAAGGACGCGGAGCAGGGTGAGCCGGAAAGCGGCGGTGGAAATCCCGCAACAGGGAGGGATCGAGGACATCCCTCACCGGGACCCAGCACCGTTCCTCCGGACCGTACCCCTCCCACTCCACGAGGTACTGAAGGCACCCCACCCGACGCCTCGAATCCAGGATGGAACGGACGGAGTACACCGGGGCCCCCTCGATGTCCAAAGGGGGAAGCGGGACCTCCCGCACCTCAGACTCCTGGAGTTGTCCAGCCACAACCGGCCTGAGGAGAGACACGTGAAACGAGGGGTTAATACGGTAATCAGGAGGGAGTAGTAACCTATACGTAACCTCGATTACTCTCCTCAGGACTTTGAACGGCCCCACAAACCACGGGCTCAGCTTCCGGCAGGGCAGGCGGAGGGGCAGGTTCCGGGTCGAGAGCCAGACCCGATCACCCGGTACAAAGACCGGGGCATCACTGCGGTGGTGGTCAGTGTTGGCCTTCTGGCGATGCGCGGCGCGTTGTAGGTGGACATGGGCAGCATTCAACGTCTCTTCCGCGCGCCGAAACCAGTCATCCACCGCAGGAGCTTCGGTCTGGCTCTGATGCCACGGTGCAAGGACCGGCTGATAACCTAAAACACATTGAAATGGAGATAGGTTAGTGGAGGAATGGCGGAGAGAGTTCTGGGCATATTTGGCCCATGGCAAGAACACCGACCATCGGTCCTGGCAGTAGGACAGCAGGAACCTACCCACATCCTGATTCACCCGTTCCACCTGCCCATTAGATTCGGGGTGAAACCCAGAGGTCAGGCTGACCGAGACCCCCAGACGTTCCATGAACGCATTCCAGATCCTGGACGTAAACTGGGGACCCCGGTCAGACACTATGTCCTCTGGCACCCCTTAGTGCCGGAAGACGTGAGTAAACAGGGCTTCCACAATTTGCAGGGCCGTGGGGAGACCGGGCAGAGGAAGGAGGCGACAGGCTTTAGAAAAGCGGTCCACAACGACCAGGATGGTGGTGTTACCCTGAGAGAGGGGAAGATCAGTTAGGAAAGTCAATACACAGGTGGGACCATGACCATTGTGGAACTGGTAAGGGATGTAACTTACCCGCTGGAAAGTGCCTAGGTGCCTTAGTCTGGGCGCAGGAGGAGACATACACCTTCATGTCCTTAGCCAAGGTAGGCCACCAGTCCTTCTGGTCAGGCAGCGCACTATACAGCCCAGCTGGTCACTGAGGTGGAGATGGCTCTGTGCGTAACGCACAGAGCATGAAATAAAACTGGGTTAAGAACAAGGCCCACCTGGCTGCCTGGATGTACTCCAGGTTACGGTGGTCAGTCCAAACGAGGAAAGGGTGTTTCGCCCCCTCGAGCCAGTGCCTCCACATGGTCAGGGCTCGGACAACAGCCAACAGCTCCCGATCACCAACGTCATAGTTCTGCACCGCCGGGCTGAGATTCTTAGAGAAGAAGGCACAGGGGCGGAGCTTGGGTGGCGTGTCCAAGCGTTGGGACAGGACAGCGCCTACCCCTACCTCGGACGCGTCCACCTCCACTATGAACGGCAATGATGGATCGGGACGGGCCAGTACCGGAGCTGAGGTGAACAGAGCCTTCAGGTTACTGAAAGCCCTGCCAACCTCAGCAGACCACAGCAGACCAGCGGAGCTGGGACGGCCTACCCTTCAACAGAGATGTGATGGGAGCTGCGACCTTGCCAAAGCCCCGGATAAACCTACGATAGTAATTGGCAAAGCCAATGAAGCACTGCACCTCCTTCACCGTGGTTGGAGTCGGTCAATTACGCACGGCTGAAATGCGGTCTCCTTCCATCTCCACACCTGAGGTGGTGATGTGGTATCTGAAGAAGGAGACAGACTGTTGGAAGAACAGACACTTTTCTGCCTTGGCATATAGGTCATGCTCCAACAGTCAGCCCAGCACTCTGCGAACCAGGGACAGATGCTCGGCGCACGTAGCGGAATACACCAGAATGTCATCGATGTAGACCACCACACCGCGACCAACCATGTCCCGAAACACCTCGTTCACTAATGACTGGAAGACTGATGGAGCATTCATCAACCCGTACGGCATCAGCAGGTAATCATAATGCCCTGTGGTTGTGCTAAAGGCTGTCTTCCACTCGTCCCCTTCCCAGAAATGCGGTTGTACGCACTCCTGAGATCTAATTTCGTGAAGAAGCGCGCCCCATGCATTGATTAGATAACAGAGGAGATAAGGGGGTAACTATAGAGGGTAACTATAGCGAATGGTAGTTTGATTAAGTGCCCGGTAATCAATGCAAGGGCGCAGACCTCCATCTTTCTTTTTCACGAAAAATAAACTTGAGGAGGCGGGCGAAGTGGAGGGATGTATGAACCCCTGGCGCATGGACTCTGAGACGTATGTCTCCATCGCCTCCGTTTCAGCTTGCGACAGGGGATAGACATGACTCCTGGGAGGCACAGCGTCTAACCGGAGGTTTATTTGGTCGCCTGCATTTTGGAAAACGTGTGCGCCAAGTTGAGGGAATGCGCACGGTGGAGGTAGTGTCCGTGGTTGCACCAACGGAAACAGCTAGACAGCTACCCTGAGACTCTCGCGACCACCCCATGAGATCCCTCTGTGGCCATGACAAGGTGGGATCGTGTAGTGCTAGCCAGGGAAGGACCAACACAACAGGGAAATGAGGGGACTCAATAATATAAAAGGTGATTTGCTCCCTGTGGGTCTCTTGCGTAATCATCGTGACTGGTGCTGTAACCTCCCTAACAAAACCTGAACCTAATGGTCTACTGTCAAGTGCTTTGATGAGCAATGGAATGTGTAGGGGAACCAATGTAATCCATAGACTATTAGCTAATGACCTGTCCATAAAGTTCCCAGCTGTGCCTGACCAGCGCCTTACACTGGGGAACTACCGTGTGATCAGGGAAGTGGACGTGATGGTGAAGTGCGCAGCAGAGGGCTCTGAACGAGTGAGGTGACGCGAGAGTGCCCTGCCTGCCGCCTCCAGATCCAGAAGAACTCTGACGACAGTGTGAAGCAGAATGTCCTCTCTTGACACTGGATCTGTCGTCCTCCGTTCTCCCGGATCGCTGCACCACCCAGCTCCATCGGAATGTGATCCGGGTTGAAGGGAGGTGAAACGGGCAGGCCCCCTCCAGGACGTCCTCTGGAAGCCAGCAGGTTGTCCATCCGGATGGCCATGTCCACCAGTTGGTTGAAGGTCAACGTGGTGTCCCGGCAGGCTAACTCCCTTTGGACGTCCTCTCGCAGGCTGCATCGGAAGTGTTCGATGAGGGCCCGCTCGTTCCACCCGGACCCAGCCGCTAGAGTTCTAAACTCCAGGGCAAAGTCCTGCGCGGTCCTCGTCCCCTGCCTCAGATGGACCAGCCGCATAGTTGTCCAATGCGTCTCCTCCTTCACTCCAGACCACATGCCCGAGAGGCATAGACTAGGGCGGACACCTTCTCCCAATCCGATGGAGCCGGGCTGATGGTGGGAAAATAGAGGTCCAACTGCAGGAGGAAACCCTGGCAGCGGGCCGCTGTCCCGTCGTATTCCCTAGGTCGAGACAGGTGAATACCTCTGGGTGCTGGGGTGTGGATGGCTGGATCCAGTCGCTCAGCTGGTTCCGCAAGGTCGGGTCCTCTCCTCTCCAGGCACTGGACGACCTGGAAAACCCGGTCCATCGCATGTTGGAATGCCTGCTCAACGACTCCAGGCATATTCCTGTTTCCTGCTGACTCCATGCTGTTGGGTGTGTGATTCTGTAGCGGGTGATTTGGATGGAGTCAGGCGCAGGAGGCTTTATCCCATGGCAAAAATCTATAGCTAGAATTGCAGGAAAAAAAACAGAGGGGGGTCTCTAAAATGTTTTGCACGCAGGGTGGGGGGGCAAAAGGCTAGAGCCGGTCCTGTGCTGTGTTGTAAACCAGAGGATGTTGTGATGTCATAAGACCAGCAACATGTTTTCAATTAGGAGGCGGAGTTAAAACAACGTTTTCAGTCAAATGTCTCATCAGGTACTTATAAACCAAGACATTTGGCCACGTCATTTTCTCATTAATTTAAGAAATAATGCAGAATGATTTGCAGAAGATGGTGAAATATGACACACTAAGTATGGATGTTATAGTGACGTTAAATCACAGTGAATGATTGAATGGGCTACTGAAGATAACAGAAGGATATGATTCCCTAAAAGCTGAGGAGGCCTTGGATAAGCTGGTTCCCACTGGATCCAGACACTATCTCACTTCTCAGAGTAGACCCCATGAGACAGGAAGAGACATATTGAATAAGACCCCAGGAGACAGGAAGAGACATATTGAATAAGACCCCAGGAGACAGGAAGAGACATATTGAATAAGATCACCTGGAGACAGGATGAGACATATTGAATAAGACCCCAGGAGACAGGAAGAGACATATTGAATAAGATCACCTGGAGACAGGATGAGACATATTGAATAAGACCCCAGGAGACAGGAAGAGACATACTGAATAAGATCACCTGGTTTATTATGGATCCCCATTAGTTCCTGTCAAGGCAGCAGCTACTCTTCCTGGGGTTTATTATGGATCCCCATTAGTTCCTGCCAAGGCAGCAGCTACTCTTCCTGGGGTTTATTATGGATCCCCATTAGTTCCTGCCAAGGCAGCAGCTACTCTTCCTGAGGTTTATTATGGATCCCCATTAGTTCCTGCCAAGGCAGCAGCTACACTTCCTGGGGTTTATTATGGATCCCCATTAGTTCCTGCCAAGGCAGCAGCTACTCTTCCTGAGGTTTATTATGGATCCCCATTAGTTCCTGCCAAGGCAGCAGCTACTCTTCCTGGGGTTTATTATGGATCCCCATTAGTTCCTGCCAAGGCAGCAGCTACTCTTCCTGAGGTTTATTATGGATCCCCGTTAGTTCCTGCCAAGGCAGCAGCTACTCTTCCTGGGGTTTATTATGGATCCCCATTAGTTCCTGCCAAGGCAGCAGCTAGTTCCTGACAACATTAAGCCACTTATATGCCAGTATACTTCACTTGAGTCCAGAGCAAAATCATACAGCCTTTTTGTAGCGGAGGTTGCCGATCAGATGGAGAGCATGTTCTGTCTGCACCGTGCCATCACTTTGGAGGGCAGCCTGCCTGTAGAGTGCACCGTGCCATCACTTTGGAGGGCAGCCTGCCTGTAGAGGGGAGGGCAGCCTGCCTGTAGAGTGGGAGGGCAGCCTGCCTGTAGAGTGGAGGGCAGCCTGCCTGTAGAGGGGAGGGCAGCCTGCCTGTAGAGGGGAGGGCAGCCTGCCTGTAGAGTGGGAGGGCAGCCTGCCTGTAGAGGGGAGGGCAGCCTGCCTGTAGAGTGGGAGGGCAGCCTGCCTGTAGAGGGGAGGGCAGCCTGCCTGTAGAGGGGAGGGCAGCCTGCCTGTAGAGTGGGAGGGCAGCCTGCCTGTAGAGTGGGAGGGCAGCCTGCCTGTAGAGTGGGAGGGCAGCCTGCCTGTAGAGTGGGAGGGCAGCCTGCCTGTAGAGGGGAGGGCAGCCTGCCTGTAGAGGGGAGGGCAGCCTGCCTGTAGAGTGGGAGGGCAGCCTGCCTGTAGAGGGGAGGGCAGCCTGCCTGTAGAGGGGAGGGCAGCCTGCCTGTAGAGGGGGAGGGCAGCCTGCCTGTAGAGTGGGAGGGCAGCCTGCCTGTAGAGTGGGAGGGCAGCCTGCCTGTAGAGTGGGAGGGCAGCCTGCCTGTAGAGGGGAGGGCAGCCTGCCTGTAGAGGGGAGGGCAGCCTGCCTGTAGAGGGGGAGGGCAGCCTGCCTGTAGAGGGCACCGCGCGATGCTGCAGCTGCTTATCTTTAGCCAGTAGCAACCCAAACTAGGACTATCTGAAATAAGGAAATGGTCAATCAATTCGCCAGGTGGTCCATTGTTCTGGTAAACATGAATCAGCAGCAGATTACTAAACTGTATAATGGATAACTTTTATATGGATAATATAAATGTAAGGCTAATCTGTTTTTTTTGCAAAACTGGAGTAGATGAAACCAGTTGTTTCTGGTCAGTAATCTGGATACGTGCGCATGCCTTTGCTCATCAATGCTGATGACTGGTCATTGGTCAACAATCAAGATGCACAACGTTTTGGTTCTGAAGCGTGGCAGGGGGTTCAGAACAACAACGACAAAACATTTACATTCAAAAAAATGTACAACACCACTGAAAGGGCACTTAGGAGACTGGATGAAAGGGCATGTGCTCTGTCAGGCGAAGCCCTGTCTGTGTAGCTGGCTGGCTAGGCTACTTTGTTACCTTGGTTTTTAATGCATTTTTCAGGGTACAATCTATCACCATATTTATTAGTAACCACCAAAAACTCTTCAGGGAATGTAGCATAATGGAGTTTTAAATATTTAGGTATGGGGTTCTAAAATGGATTTAGAAATATGTTGCAAATTACTGAAGTACTACTTTGTTTACATGTCAGATTGAGATGCACTGAAATAAGTAGTTTTCCTGCTGTTTTTTTAATTATATGAGAAAAAAAGATTCAATTTTATTTGGAACAGCAAGCCAGACAAAATTAAAAGGGCATATTTATATAATGAATATGAATTCGGAGGACAGAAATTATTAAATATTAAAGCATTAGAACTCTCACTAAAAGCTTCAGTCATACAAAAGTTATACTTAAATCCGAACTGGTTCTCAAGCAAATTAGTAAGATTGTCTCACCCAATGTTCAAGAAAAGGCCTTTTTCCCTTTATTCAGATTACAACAAACTCATTTGCAGTTATTTGAAAAGGAAATCATCTCCCAAATATCACTATTTCTAAAACAAGCCATAGAAAGTTAGTTGCAATTTCAATTTAATCCTCCAGAAACGACAGAACAAATAATGCAACAAATATTGTGGTTAAATTCAAATATACTAATTGACAAAAAACCTTTATTGTTTGACAGAATGTTTAAAAAAGGTATAATCTTCGTAAATGATATCATCGGTAGGACTGGTGGAGTTATGTCGCACATGCAGCTAACAAAAACATATGGAAATGTCTGCTCTACCCAAAATTACAACCAAATAATTGCAGCCTTACCGCAAAAATGGAAGAGGAAAGTGGAAGGGGGAGAAAGTAAGGAACTTGTCTGTCGGCCTTGCATTAAAGAACATAATTGGTTAAGAAAAACTGTGATAAATAAAAAAGTATATCAGTTTCACTTAAGGACCAAAGGATTGACAGCCGTCCCATATAGATTGCAAAATAGTTGCGAAGAGATTTTTGACGTACCGATCCCATGGCATAGTGTTTATGAACTGACACGCAAAACGACACCGGATTCAAAACTTAGAATCTTTCAATTTAAATTATTATATAAAATTCTTGCTACCAGTAGAATGTTATTTATATGGGGGATACAATCTTCCCAGCTCTGCAGATTTTGCTGTGAAGAGACAGAATCATTAGATCATTTGTTTTGGTACTGTCCATTTGTAGCTTGTTTTTGGACACAGGTCCAGGAATGGCAAAAGGATTGCAATATTTACCTGGAGCTAACGCTGCAGATAGCACTACTGGGTGATCTGAAAAGTAATAATCAATCGATCAATAATATAATAATACTTTTAGCAAAAATGTTTATTTTTAATTCACAATCTGTAGAAACAATGAGAATAGAAAGTTTCAGAACTGTTGTAAAACATCACAGTACAGTTTAAATATATATGGCAAATAGAAATCCTATATAGATGGTGTTAAGAGATAGATGGGAGGTGTTGAATGGAGTTGAAGGATGGGACTAATAACAACTAACAACATCTAATAACAAAGATAGCTAATAATGTAAGCATACTGTGTCCATAATAAGTATATAGTTGGTATGTTGGGAGCTTTGGGAAAGAGCACAGTTAGAAAGATATGGCATATAGAAGCAAACCGGATGGACATCATGAAAATGATCGGAGAGGTTGAGAGAAGAAGAAGTTCAGGAGCAAAAAAAAAAATATATATATATATATATAATAGAATTATTGTAAAATTAACTGTGTCCATAAGGTGTAGATAGTAAGTATAGACCGGAAGTAGAGGCCTGGGCATTGTTGTTCACTAATTTACTCCAAGTAGGGAAAGGATGGTGGGGTTGAAAAGTAATAAAGGGGAGTATACAGTGGGGGAAAAAAGTATTTAGTCAGAAACCAATTGTGCAAGTTCTCCCACTTAAAAAGATGAGAGAGGCCTGTAATTTTCATCATAGGTACACGTCAACTATGACAGACAAATTGAGAAAAAAAATCCAGAAAATCACATTGTAGGATTTTTAATGAATTTATTTGCAAATTATGGTGGAAAATAAGTATTTGGTCACCTACAAACAAGCAAGATTTCTGGCTCTCACAGACCTGTAACTTCTTCTTTAAGAGGCTCCTCTGTCCTCCACTCGTTACCTGTATTAATGCCACTTGTTTGAACTTGTTATCAGTATAAAAGACACCTGTCCACAACCTCAAACAGTCACACTCCAAACTCCACTATGGCCAAGACCAAAGAGCTGTCAAAGGACACCAGAAACAAAATTGTAGACCTGCACCAGGCTGGGAAGACTGAATCTGCAATAGGTAAGCAGCTTGGTTTGAAGAAATCAACTGTGGGAGCAATTATTAGGAAATGGAAGACATACAAGACCACTGATAATCTCCCTCGATCTGGGGCTCCACGCAAGATCTCACCCCGTGGGGTCAAATTGATCACAAGAACGGTGAGCAAAAATCCCAGAACCACACGGGGGGACCTAGTGAATGACCTGCAGAGAGCTGGGACCAAAGTAACAAAGCCTACCATCAGTAACACACCACGCCGCCAGGGACTCAAATCCTGCAGTGCAAGACGTGTCCCCCTGCTTAAGCCAGTACATGTCCAGGCCCGTCTGAAGTTTGCTAGAGTGCATTTGGATGATCCAGAAGAGGATTGGGAGAATGTCATATGGTCAGATGAAACCAAAATATAACTTTTTGGTAAAAACTCAACTCGTCGTGTTTGGAGGACAAAGAATGCTGAGTTGCATCCAAAGAACACCATACCTACTGTGAAGCATGGGGGTGGAAACATCATGCTTTGGGGCTGTTTTTCTGCAAAGGGACCAGGACGACTGATCCGTGTAAAGGAAAGAATGAATGGGGCCATGTATCGTGAGATTTTGAGTGAAAACCTCCTTCCATCAGCAAGGGCATTGAAGATGAAACGTGGCTGGGTCTTTCAGCATGACAATGATCCCAAACACACCGCCCGGGCAACGAAGGAGTGGCTTCGTAAGAAGCATTTCAAGGTCCTGGAGTGGCCTAGTCAGTCTCCAGATCTCAACCCCATAGAAAATCTTTGGAGGGAGTTGAAAGTCCGTGTTGCCCAGCGACAGCCCCAAAACATCACTGCTCTAGAGGAGATCTGCATGGAGGAATGGGCCAAAATACCAGCAACAGTGTGTGAAAACCTTGTGAAGACTTACAGAAAACGTTTGACCTGTGTCATTGCCAACAAAGGGTATATAACAAAGTATTGACAAAACTTTTGTTATTGACCAAATACTTATTTTCCACCATAATTTGCAAATAAATTCATTACAAATCCTATAATATGATTTTCTGGATTTATTTTTCTCATTTTGTCTTTCATAGTTGACGTGTACCTATGATGAAAATTACAGGCCTCTCTCATCTTTTTAAGTGGGAGAACTTGCACAATTGGTGGCTGACTAAATACTTTTTTGCCCCACTGTATATATAAAAAACATCGGGGATTGGAAGTGATGCAGACAATTACATTGATGGAAGATACAATCTATATGCAATATTAAGCTGATCCACCCCCCACACAAAAAACAACAACAACAAAAAATATATTAATTTATTACTGTGTGTGTGTGTGTGTGTGTGTGTGTGTGTGTGTGTGTGTGTGTGTGTGTGTGTTGTGTGTCTGTCTGTCTGTCTGTCTGTCTGTCTGTCTGTCTGTCTGTCTGTCTGTCTGTCTGTCTGTCTGTCTGTCTGTCTGTCTGTCTGTGTCTGTCTGTCTGTCTGTCTGTCTGTCTGCTGTCTGTCTCTCCTCTCTCTCTCTCTCTCTCTCCTCTCTCTCTCTCCTCTCTCTCTCTCTCTCCTCTCTCTCTCTCTCTCTCTCCTTCCTCTCTCTCTCTCGCTCTCCTCTATCCTCTCTCTCTCTCTCTCTCTCTCTCCTCTCTGTCTCTCTCTCTCTCTGTGTTTGAGCAGTACAGTGAGTGATGGCTAGAGGGTGCTGTGTGGTCACAGAGAGCCGGTGTGGCACTAATGTTTTCCTGCCCCTCTCTCTCTCTCTCTCTCGCTCTCGCTCTCGCTCTCGCTCTCTCGCTCTCGCTGGCTGGGTTGGTCACATGGGGAGAAGAGCTGTTTAAAATGCTTTAGTATTCTCAGCCAGTGCAGAGCCAGAGACTGAGAGAGACACACACGTCTACCTACCTACCAACCTACAGCACTGCAACTTTCTATACTGGAGAGACACACACATCGTCACGGCTACAGAGGACAGGAGGACAGGAGGACAGGACAGTGGGAAGCCAGAGAGACCAAATATTTTAAGTGAGTTGCTATAATTCTGGTGCTGGATCTGTCTGTGTGTTGGAGCTGGATCTGTCTGTGTGTTGGAGCCGGATCTGTCTGTGTGTTGGAGCTGGATCTGTCTGTGTGTTGGAGCCGGATCTGTCTGTGTGTTGGAGCTGGATCTGTCTGTGTGTTGGAGCCGGATCTGTCTGTGTGTTGGAGCTGGATCTGTCTGTGTGTTGGAGCCGGATCTATCTGTGTGTTGGAGCTGGATCTGTCTGTGTGTTGGAGCCGGATCTGTCTGTGTGTTGGAGCTGGATCTGTCTGTGTGTTGGAGCTGGATCTGTCTGTGTGTTCGAGCCAGACTAATATAGGACAGTTGACAGAGGGATGCAACATATGCACATCTGTCTTGATAATCAGATGATTTGTAATAATAGTAGCGTTCAGGATGGATGGAAGGATCTAGTGCTTCTTTATAGTGGCTTCATCCGGGTCTTTCTGCATCTTTGGTCTAATTAATTCCAACACATGCTGATCCTCAGTGATCTATTGAATATATTCAGATGGAAACGGTTGCTGATAGAGACCTGAGAAGGAAACAGTTGCGTTGCTGATAGAGACCTGAGAAGGAAACAGTTGCGTTGCTGATAGAGACCTGAGAAGGAAACGGTTGTGTTGCTGATAGAGACCTGAGAAGGAAACAGTTGTGTTGCTGATAGAGACCTGAGAAGGAAACGGTTGTGTTGCTGATAGAGACCTGAGAAGGAAACGGTTGTGTTGCTGATAGAGACTTGCTATTAATGAAATGCACTCAGCAAACGGCAGCTGAGTTATCACCAAAAGCAGTTCTGTTTCTCTCGCTCTCTCTCGCTCTCGCTCTCTTTCTCGCTCTCGCAATCTCGCTCTGTCTCCGTCCACACTTACAAAGTGGATGCTTTGCAAAGGGAGAGAGAGAGAGAGAGAGAGGAGGGAGCCGGGGCGAGAACGCTAGGAGAGTGAGAGAGAAGAAAGCCAGGAATTAGGGAGAGAGTGGAGGGCATTGAAAGCAGTGACACTGGCCAGACAATTAGCTGAGGATTCCATTGTGTGGCCCTTTCTCTCCCCGTGGCCTCATGGCAAAGGTCAGGGGACAGGCTGACCCGTGTCAACTCTCCAGCATGGAACCCATTATCCTCCTCTGATTGATTAGTTTTAGTGGAGATCCCTTCTATCTCCTCCTCCCTTCTGCCGTTTTTGTTCCTTTTCTGTTGTATCTCTGCTGTTGCTTTCTGTTATTTTAAGGATCTCCCCCGTTTAGGGGCACATTTCCGGGATTTCTGGGCTGGGAGATGGTCATTAGGTTGCTGTTAAGGTGCATTTCTGGTTGTGTGAGAGGGGAGAGGACCAAGACTCCCTACCCAGCCCCTTACCCGCCTCAGCCCCATTCAGCCCCAGCACCATACCCGCCCCAGCCCCATACCCGCCTCAGCCCCATTCAGCCCCAGCCCCATACCCGCCTCAGCCCCATTCAGCCCCAGCCCCATACCCGCCTCAGCCCCATTCAGCCCCAGCCCCATACCCGCCTCAGCCCCATTCAGCCCCAGCACCATACCCGCCCCAGCCCCATACCCGCCTCAGCCCCATTCAGCCCCAGCCCCATACCTGCCTCAGCCCCATTCAGCCCCAGCCCCATACCCCAATCCCTGCCTCAGCCCCATTCAGCCCCAGCCCCATACCCCAATCCCTGCCTCAGCCCCATTCAGCCCCAGCCCCATACCCCAATCCCTGCCTCAGCCCCAGCCCCCCCAATCCCTGCCTCAGTCCCATTCAGCCTCTAGCCCCATACCCTTTACACTAGCTTCAGCCCCATTCAGCCCCATACCCTAGCTTCACTCCCATTCAGTCCCATACTCCATGCACTAGCTTCAGAACCATTCAGCTCCAGCCCCATACACTAGCTTCAGACCCATTCAGTCCCATTCAGCCCCAGCCCCCAATCCATTCAGCCTCATTCAGGCCCATATCCCTAAAACTAGCTTCATCCCAAATTAATCCCCATTCAGCCCCAGCCCCATACCCCAATCCCTGCCTCAGGCCCATTCAGACCCATTCAGCCCCAGCCCCATACCCCAATCCCTGCCTCAGGCCCATTCAGCCCCAGCCCCATACCCCAATCCCTGCCTCAGACCCATTCAGACCCATTCAGCCCCATACCCCATACACTAGCTTCAGTCCCATTCAGCCCCATACCCCATACACTAGCTTCAGCCCCATTCAGCCCCATACCCCATACACTAGCTTCAGACCCATTCAGCCCCATACCCCATACACTAGCTTCAGCCCCATTCAGCCCCATACCCCATACACTAGCTTCAGCCCCATTCAGCCCCATACCCCATACACTAGCTTCAGACCCATTCAGCCCCATACCCCATACACTAGCTTCAGACCCATTCAGCCCCATACCCCATACACTAGCTTCATTCCCATTCAGCCCCATACCCCATACACTAGCTTCAGCCCATCCGCTTGTTCGATAACCCCAGCCCCAGGCTGCCCAGCCCCAGCCTCCCTGTCTGGGCGCCCCAGCCCTCCAGCACTCCTCACACTGTTTTAAGTGTTTAACCCCGGTCCAGGCACATCAAAGGAGGGGCAGCTTTGGCTGGAAGACTGGGTCTTAGATGTCCCTATCTGTCTTAATGATTTCTAGTTTCATTTACATTTTAGTCATTTAGCAGACGCCTTATCCAGAGCGATTACAGTTTAGTGAGTGCATACATTTTTTCATACTTGGCCCCCGTGAGAAACGACCCACAACCCTGCGTTGCAAGCACCATGCGTCTAATACCAATGAGCTACAAGGGACCACATGCCTTGAAGGAGCACGGCCCCCCATCTTGGATTCTTGGACCCCTCTCCTCCTCTCCCCTCTCCTTATCTACCTCCTCTCCTCCTCCCCTCATCCTCCTCTTCCTCATCCTCCTCCTCCTTATCTACCTCCTCCTCCTCATCCCCCTCCTCCTCCTTATCTACCTCCTCCTCCTCCTCCTCCTCCTCCTCCTCCTCTTCCTCTTCCTCTTCCTCCTCCTCCTCCTCCTTATCTACCTCCTCCTCCTCCACTTCCTCCTCCTCTTCCTCCTTATCTACCTCCTCCTCCTCCTCCTCCTCCTTATCAACCTCCTCCTCCTCCTCCTCCTTATCCACCTCCTCTTCCTCCTCCTTATCTACCTCCTCCTCCTTATCTACCTCCTCCTCCTCTTCCTCCTCCTACTCCTCCTTATCTACCTCCTCCTCCTCTTCCTCCTCATCTACCTCCTCCTCCTTATCTACCTCCTCCTCCTCTTCCTCCTCCTCCTCCTCCTTATCTACTTCCTCCTCCTCCTCCTCCTCCTCCTTATCCACCTCCTCTTCCTCCTCCTTATCTACCTCCTCCTCCTTATCTACCTCCTCCTCCTCTTTCTCCTCCTCCTCCTCCTGGAAGGATCTAGTGCTTCTTTATAGTGGCTTCATCCGGGTCTTTCTGCATCTTTGGTCTAATTAATTCCAACACATGCTGATCCTCAGTGATCTATTGAATATATTCAGATGGAAACGGTTGCTGATAGAGACCTGAGAAGGAAACGGTTGCGTTGCTGATAGAGACCTGAGAAGGAAACGGTTGTGCCCCTACCCTCCTAGCAGTTCCCCAGCCTCTACCTCCTCCTCCTCATCCTCCTCCTCATCTACCTCCTCCTCCTCATCTACCTTGTCCTCCTCCTCCTCCTCTTCCTCCAGCCAGCCCGCCTGCCCTTACAGCTGGTTTAGTTTTAGCCCATCCATATCAACTGGGAAAGGGCCAGTGTGTGTGATGTTGGTTTAGTTTTAGCCCATCCATATCAACTGGGAAAGGGCCAGTGTGTGTGATGTTGGTTTAGTTTTAGCCCATCCATATCAACTGGGAAAGGGCCAGTGTGTGTGATGTTGGTTTAGTTTTAGCCCATCCATATCAACTGGGAAAGGGCCAGTGTGTGTGTTGTTGGTTTAGTTTTAGCCCATCCATATCAACTGGGAAAGGGCCAGTGTGTGTGTTGTTGGTTTAGTTTTAGCCCATCCATATCAACTGGGAAAGGGCCAGTGTGTGTGTTGTCCCCTACAGGGGATAGCATGTAGATGAGTTCTTCTTAAAGGAGGCTTTAGGGTTTAGGGAACAGAAGGAAAGGGTTTAGGGAACAGAAGGAAATGGTTTAGGGAACAGAAGGAAAGGGTTTAGGGAACAGAAGGAAAGTGTTTAGGGAACAGAAGGAAAGGGTTTAGAGAGGAGAAGGAAAGGGTTTAGGGAACAGAAGGAAAGGGTTTAGAGAGCAGAAGGAAAGGGTTTAGGGAACAGAAGGAAAGGGTTTAGGGAACAGAAAGAAAGGGTTTAGGGAACAGAAGGAAAGGGTTTAGGGAACAGAAGGAAAGGGTTTAGGGAACAGAATGAAAGGGTTTAGGGAACAGAAGGAAAGGGTTTAGGGAACAGAAGGAAAGGGTTTAGGGAACAGAAGGAAAGGGTTTAGGGAACAGAAGGAAAGGGTTTAGAGAGCAGAAGGAAAGGGTTTAGAGAGGAGAAGGAAAGGGTTTAGGGAACAGAAGGAAAGGGTTTAGGGAACAGAAAGAAAGGGTTTAGGGAACAGAAGGAAAGGGTTTAGGGAACAGAAGGAAAGGGTTTAGGGAACAGAATGAAAGGGTTTAGGGAACAGAAGGAAAGGGTTTAGGGAACAGAAGGAAAGGGTTTAGGGAACAGAAGGAAAGGGTTTAGGGAACAGAAGGAAAGGGTTTAGGGAACAGAAGGAAAGGGTTTAGGGAGCAGTATTCTGGATGGACAGAGAGTCCATTTGATGCTCCTGTATCAGGAAGAAGATTAACACAGCCTGATGGACCTGCTTTAAACCTGGGATGTGTCTCAAATGGCACCCTATTCCCTATATAGTTCACTACTTTTGACCAGAGGGACACGGAGCTGCTCTCTGTCTGCAGTGAGCCCTTGTAGTGTTCAGTTTCAACTCCTCTTCCATGTTTGTTCTCTATTTATTTTTCTAAGGTGTGATTGGAGCCCAGGTATTTTTCTAAGTTCCCCAGGCCCAGCCCCAGCCCCTACCCTCCTAGCAGTTCCCCAGCCCCAGCCCCTACCCTCCTAGCAGTTCCCCAGCCCCAGCCCCTACCCTCCTAGCAGTTCCCCAGCCCCAGCCCCTACCCTCCTAGCAGTTCCCCAGCCCCTACCCTCCTAGCAGTTCCCCAGCCCCAGCCCCTACCCTTCTAGCAGTTCCCCAGCCCCTACCCTCCTAGCAGTTCCCCAGCCCCAGCCCCTACCCTCCTAGCAGTTCCCCAGCCCCAGACCCTACCCTCCTAGCAGTTCCCCAGCCCCAGCCCCTACCCTCCTAGCAGTTCCCCAGCCCCTACCCTCCTAGCAGTTCCCCAGCCCCTACCCTCCTAGCAGTTCCCCAGCCCCTACCCTCCTAGCCTGGGAATAGTCCCAGTAAGTCTCATTGTGTGGCCTTGTAGCTGGGCCATTGAAATGCTGTTTGCATCCCAATTTGCACCCTATTCACTATATAGTAGCAAGGGCCTATAGGGTAGTAGTGCACTTTATAGGGAATAGGGTGCCATTTGGGACTGGTACGCTGTGTTTCTGCCTGGCCTTCCTACCGACCGGAGGGCTTTTAATCTATTAATGGCTGATCCTTAAACACTAATCAATGTGGCCTTTAATATTTCCATTAAAGCTGAGAGGAAAGGAATAAATAAATAATGTTGGCTGAGTGGCTGCAGGTCGGCTGGTCGCTTCTCAAACACCCTCTCCTCTCCTCTCCTATCCTCTCTTCTTCTCCTTTCCTCTCCTCTCCTTTCCTCTCCTCTCCTCTCCTCTCTCCTCTACTCTCCTCTCCTCCGCATTCAGTGCAACTGACTAGGTATCCCCTTTCTAATCTCCTCTCCTCTCCACTCCTGTCCTCTCCTCTCTCTAGGGCATGCTTGACTTCTCCAGTTAGTTAGCGCACCAACCAAACTGACGCTATTTGCTTTATTTAGCCTACAGAGTGTGCAGTGTTTTATTAGCGATGCCTCTTTTGATAGCGTTCAGCACACTTCATTTTAAGTGAAAGAGAAGTTCCTGGGCTGAAGGTCGGAGCAGGCAGGCTCTCTCTGAAGCTCAGGCTAATTCCATTAGCATCTTGTATTCACTCTAACCAGAGCTGACTATTCTACAGGGGAAGGTACCAGAGTTGACAGGTAGCTTAGTGGTTAAGAGTGTTGTGCCAGTAACTGAAAGGTTGCTGGTTCTAATCCCTGAGCTGACTAGGTGAAAAATCTGCCGATGTGCCCTTGAGCATTCTGGAAGCTTGCTTCAGGGCTCTGATATTTTCTGTATATCAGGGAGCAAATTTCTTTTTTGTATTTATTTGGGGTGCGACTGCATCTAGGGTATTACACAAGGTTAAATTTAGATCCTCAGTTAGGTGGTTAACAGATTTTTGTAATCCGATGTCCTTGGGTAGGTGGAGGGAGTCTGGAAGGGCCTCTAGGAATCTTTGGGTTGTCTGAGAATTTATAGCACGGCTTTTGATGATCCTTGGTGTTCTTAGCGGCCGGGGACATTAATGCAGGGAAACTTAAATCTGTTTTACCTAGTTTCTACCAGCATGTTAAATGTGCAACTAGAGGAAAACAAACTCTAGACCACCTTTACTCCACACACATAAATGCGTACAAAGCTCTCCCTCGCCCTCCATTTGGCAAATCTGACCATAATTATATCCTCCTGATTCCTACTTATAAGCAAAAACTAAAGCAGAAAGTACCAGTGACTCGCTCAATATGGAAGTGGTCAGAAGACGCAGATGCTAAGCTACAGGACTGCTTTGCTAGCACAGACTGGAATATGTTCCAGGATTCTTCCGATAGCATTGAGGAGTACACCACATAAGTCACTGGCTTCATCAATATGTGCATCAATGACGTCATCCCCACATTGAGCGTATGTTCATACCCCAACCAGAAGCCATGGATTACAGGCAACATCCACACTGAGCTAAAGGGTAGAGCTGCCGCTATCAAGGAGCGGGACTCTAACCCGGATACTTATAAGAAATCCCGCTATGCCCTCAGACGAACCATCAAACAGGCAAAGCGTCAATACAGGACTAAGATTGAATCGTCCTACACCGGCTCCGACGCTCGTCGGATGTGGCAGGGCTTCCAAACTATTACAGACTACAAAGGGAAGCACAGCCGTGAGCTGCCCAGTGACACGAGCCTACCAGACGAGGTAAATTACTTCTATGCTCGCTTCGAGGCAAGCAACACTGAAGCATGCATGAGAGCATCAGCTGTTCCGGACGACTGTGTGATCACGCTCTCTGTAGCCGATGTGAGTTAGACTTTTAAGCAGGTTTGCAACATTTGCCCTGCCTGGGGTAGAGTACCTCATGATAAGCTGTAGACCACACTATTTACCAAGAGAGTTTTCATCTATATTTTTTATAGCTGTCTATTTACCACCACAAACCGATGCTGGCACTAAGACAGCCGATGTGAGTAAGACGTTTAAACAGCTTAACATTCACAAGGCCGCAGGGCCAGACAGATTACCAGGGCGTGCACTCCGAGCATGCGCTGACCAACTGGCAAGTGTCTTCACTTACATTTTCAAACTGTCCTTGACTGAGTCTGTAATACCAACATGCTTCAAGCAGACCATCATAGTCCCTGTGCCCAAGAACATTAAGGTAACCTGCCTAAATGACTACAGACCCGTAGCACTCATGTCTGTAGCCATGAAGTGCTTTGAAAGGCTGGTCATGGCTCACATCAACACCCTTATACAAGAAAACATAGACCAACTCCAATGTGAGACACCTATGTGAGAATGCTGTTCATTGACTACAGCTCAGCATTCAACATCATAGTGCCCTCAATGCTCATCACTAATCTAAGGATCCTGGGACTAAACACCTCCCTCTGCAACTGGATCCTGGACTTCCTGACGGGCCGCCCCCAGGTGGTAAGGGTAGGTAACAACACATCTGCCACGCTGATCCTCAACACAGGGGCCCCTCAGGAGTGCGTGCTTTGATTTGATTTAATTTAATTTGCTCAGTCCCCTCCTGTACTCCATGTTCACACATGACTGCATGGCCAGGCATGACTCCAACACCATCATTAAGTTTGCTGACGATACAACAGTTTGTAGGCCTGATCACCGACAACGACGAGACAGCCTATAGGGAGGAGGTCAGAGACCTGGCCGTGTGGTGCCAGGACAACAACCTCTCCCTCAACGTGATCAAGACAAAGGAGATGATTGTGGACTACAGGAAAAAGAAGAGGACTGAGCACACCCCCATTCTCATCGACGGGGCTGTAGTGGAACAGGTTAAGAGCTTCATGTTCCTTGGTGTCCACATCACCAACAAACTATCATGGTCCAAACACACCAAGACAGTCGTGAAGAGGGCACGACAAAGCCTAGTCCCCCTCAGGAGACTGAAAAGATTTGGCATGGGTCCTCAGATCCTCAAAAAGTTCTACAGCTGCACCATCGAGAGTATCCTGACTGGTTGCATCACTGCCAGGTATGGCAACTGCTCGGCCTCCGATCGCAAGGCACTACAGAGGGTAGTGCGTATGGCCCAGTACATCACTGGGGCCAAGCTTCCTGCCATCCAGGACCTCTATACCAGGCGGTGTCAGAGGAAGGCCCTCAAAATTGTCAAAGACTCCAGCCACCCTAGTCATAGACTGTTCTCGCTGCTACCGCACCACAAACGGTACCGGAGTGCCAAGTCTAG